CCCTGTGGCAAGTGCGTAAAACTAAAATACTTGAATCCAGCACGTAACCCGCATTAGCCAGCGGCTACAACCGGCCGTGACGTCCTGAACGTCCTGAACGTCCTGGCCGTGTCCTTGGGCTCGAAGCACGCCCCTCAAAGTAACAGCAAATAGCATTCAAAGTATTTCAAGCGTACTACTCAAGGGTTTTCAAAGTTCAGAGCCGAAAGGCGATGTAATTGTCTCATTAGAAGTAGTTTAAGCAGTTGTGAATAGAAATTACATTGACCCCCTGTACAAATGATATTCCGTGCACTTGCACTCCTGCGGCGCACTCCGTGCAGTATGTGCACCGCGGCGTATACGTAATGTGCACTCATTTTACAAGCACCTGAGCTTCCAGGAAAAGAACTGCATTATTTTTGCTCTGATTAATACCAGGAATCTGCTATGTAGGAAGCAGGAGCTCGAAAAGGCTCAAGAAATACTAAAGTGGTTCATTAATTTGAAAGCCATTTCTTAGAATGGACTCAACTGAGAGTGGAATTGAGAAATGGACCTTTTACCTTTTACTTCCGGCTAAAAAATGGTTGAGTTATTTAATAACAATAGAAAATATTTCAAGTAAATTAATGTTTTCCTTCAATAAAATTATTTAAAGTGAATTGCATTTTTTCTTCACATTCAGTTTAAGCGAAGTTTATCAATCTAAGCAGTTGCTGTGTACCAGATTTAGGTCAATGCTTTACGCCTAAGAATTTTGGAATTAAATAAAAAGCTGTGTTTAGCTGTGTGCATTAAATTGTTTTTCCTGAAATGTTTTTTTGTATTCCGCAATTTTGTAAATAATTTATTACTGAGAAGTTCGTCCTTTGTTTATCAGATTGAAATACTAATACGTGCAGACCACAAAAATTGATTTTGGTCTAGCCGAGCTGCATTTGGGTCAGTTAGCCTAGCCGAGACTACATTTACTGCAATTAACTAGCAGTAAATCGGAAAACTCACCTGTAACCAAGCAGGAAAATTTATAGCTGCAGGTGGCGGGCGGCGAGCGGCGCTTCACTTAGCTACTATTTGTGGTTCGTCTGTGGATTCTCTCGCTTGTTTAATTGAATTGGTTCGAGTCGTTGGGGTTGCAGTTGCAGCTAACAGTTATGCAGTTCAAACTCGCGGATGCTTCAATGCCCGCGATGACGAAAATCTGGACCTGTTCGGGAAGATGTACAACAGACGCGGTCAGTTGCTCTCGCGCGACTGGTGAATGACGCCTCGCTGTGGTATCCATTCGCGGATTCGGTTAACGGTTCTCGGTGCTCGGAGTTTTTTGCTCGGTATTCGGGCGATTCGGTATAGTATTCGTATCGTGCCTGTAGTTGAGTTGGGGTAATGTTTGTTGTTGTTTTGCTTTGGCTGGAGGCAACTGGCAAACAATTCTCAATTCGGCAACGGGACTCGGACTCGGACTCGAACTGGGACTGGGACTGGGCCAATGGGCCAAGTGCGAGCGCAGCGAAAGCAACAACAAGAAGCAGAGTAATAACGAAAGCGAAACGAAATAAATGCCTTAAATAATTTATTGCATTTTTAAATGTATATTCCGAGGGAGTGAAAGGGAGACAGAAAACGACAGTCGCGCACAAAAATTACTCACAAAAAACACACACACAAAATCATTAAACTTCACTTTTTGTTTCTACTTAATAAAATGTTATTATTTGGAGTCAATCTATTTATGTGGCTTAGAACTACCGTTACATTCAGTTAGGAGCGCGTGTTCGCCTCGCGCAATTGAGAGAGAGAAAACGTCCACTCCGCTGCGTGACTCGAACTGAATTAAAAAAATTGGCAACCTGAGGTTGCGAGTGTTCCTGTGTCTGGTGGAAGGTTCGTCTCACAATATTCTTGATGTTCGCTCCTCGTGCGTGTGCGTTTCGTATCTATAAAGTTTATATTTCCATTGACACCCTTTCCCCAAGTGTGCATGGTTCGCCTGACGCGCCTATCGTATGTTTCACTTCCATTCCGTTTCACATGAAAGCGACAACGAGCTTGCCGAAGCTCTCTCGACTGCTCCAGCTGTTTGCGTGAGATTTCCAGAATGCACAATAATAACAACAAATGAAGCTTTTTACGCATGACCTAACGGTGTGCCGAACTTTTGCATTCCGCTAATCGCATGTCTCCGCATATCTTCTAGTGGGCTCTGGCTGTCTCACTGCCTGTCACTCAGCTGTTTGTTCTTCTGTTCCAGCGAAGTAAATACAGCTGAGTTGCATACTTATTATTCACTTTTGAATTTTCAAGATGAAATACATGGTAATTATCGTAGAACGCTTTGAATATGACACTTTTTTTTTTTAATTGTTGACAGCATAATAATTTACTTTGGCCCAGAATTAATTTCCAACCAAATAGTTCAGTCGAATCGCCCATTAGCAAGTACCTGATAATAACGCTTCATTACACTTGCATTGCTTATGTCGAACTCTCTTTTGGTAATATAATGGGTTAAGAGAGCGTTGACGACAACCGTTTGCCGACACCTCCAGGCGAAAAAGCTTTTGCCTATTTGCGTGAGAGCGCAATCAACTGATGAGCTTTCCAGTTAAGTAACAAAAAAGGCGGCTACTCGCAGCTTTTACTCAGCCAGCGCAGCCTGCGCTCCGCTGTTCGCATTTCATTGATGCCCAAATATAGGTCAACAACGTGCTGCGGGACAGCGGCAGAGGTAGAGGCGGAGATTAAAGACATCGGCGTTGCGTTTATCAGTGCAGTGGAAACAATACTGCCGTTACTTTGCACTAGTAAATATATATGTGTGAGTGTATGTGCATGTGTATGTGTGTTGGCATTCCTTAGTAAATTTGCACTTGTAAATATATGTGCGTGAGTGTGTGTATGTGTACGTGTGTGTGTGTGTATTGCTTAGACGGCCACCGACGAAGCGGCCGCCATGAAACAACGCGAAAACAAATTGGACGGGAACATCGCGTATACGCCCCGTTATCATCAATGGCTAAATTTATGGCCGACCTTGTCGGCATACACAAATATTTCGTGCATTTGTCACGACTCGTTGTCCGGACAGTAATTAAATTTCACGCGGGGCAGCCGACAACTGAGGGAATCTCTTTTGCGGTTGCATTGCTTCCATTTTTGATGTTGTTATTTTAATTGATGCGATCCGGAAAGTGGGTCAAAAGTTGTCCGACGATTGCTGCTGTAGCTAAAGATGTTTTCAGGATAATCCTAAATGCGCACCACATTGCCACCACACCCCCCTCCCCCCCGCCTGTCACGGCAGTGGAAACGAGTTCATTGTATTACGCCAAGGACTCACTTAAGGAATAAAGCGAAAGCATGTTCATGCCGGCGTGATTGTCGCCTCGTTGAATGCGCCTCGAACAGTGTAAAGGACATCCAAGGATATTACAGCTCGTCCCGCAGCTCCCCGCTGCTTACGTGCATTCCAATGCCCCGCAGCCAAACAAATGCCATCCACTTCCTATTAAATTGCACCCCAGACGCACTTCTTCACATCCAGCACGGGCCCAGCTACGAAATTTATTTCGAATCACTTGAAAAATCCGCTGCGCTTATCGCAAAACAATTTGTTTGGCCAGCAAATTATCTACGGGAAACAATGAATGAAAATTGCCTTTGGCTTATGCCACTCTACTCAGGCCCAGTGCCAATAAAAACGGGCCAAGATATGCTTATAGCCAGCTTCCGGACGATACCCCACAGTCGAAGGTCGCTGCATATTGAATAAATTATTATAAATCAAAGCTGAAGTCGTTTTACCAAAATCCATTCGGATCTAAACATTATCTTAGTAGAGATAATAGAAATTAAATGTTTTAATATTAACTAAACTATCAAAACCGGACGTGACTGACACATCCTGGCCACATTATCTGCCTGCAATTAAAGGCGATTAAAGATTAAATAAATATGATATCAACATAATTGTTGCAGCTGCAATTTTAAGCACAATTTATAAAGTTTGACGAGCATAATCGTGTCCATATCGAAGTTGTTTAACTATGACTTTTATAAATGACAAGCACATTATGATTATGTGACATTTGTGATGATAACAAAACTCTATGACAAATCGTTCTGCAAATAAAACCGCGACTGGGTGGTTGAACTTTGTAATTTGTTTCGAATTAACGAAATAAGTTCACAATCTATCAATAATTGTACATAAGTATAAAGATATCAACTTTTATATATAGTGGTACATTGTATTTGCGTGTTTAATATCGAAGACAAATGAAAGTGTTTTTCCTAAGAACTTGTGCCTTTCACTGCGTAGAAAATATTTAATTAATCAAGCCTTTGTGATTAGAACTTTCACTGGTTCAAAATGATTTCCAACAGCTGCGATAACTGAACTGAGATTTTGCATATACATATTGCGAGTTTTTTAAAGTACGTAAAGTAAGTTTTAACTTTTCGTATTATTGTATTATTATTTTCCATCTGTGGGCTAATTTACTTGTTTTCATGCATTTGAATTAGTTATCATAATTTATCTGTATATAAAACAAGTAAACAATCCATGACCCCAGCCAAAAACCATAAAAAAAAAATCCCCCTAGTTCGGATTCGCAGGGTCCCAGACCTATCGACAACATTTGTAGAAAGAATTAAGCGACAAACCGCGTGAGTCATAAGCGGGGGTAATTATTGTCGTATGGCCGAGCTAATCTCCCGATAAGATCGGAAGACCATCGATCGAAAAATTGATGAGAGTTTGCAGTCTCTGCTCAGGTTCTTGGTCAACGTTATACGATTTGTCTTTTTCAAAACTGACGCACCTGATCACAGCCGGCCATATGGCGAGACGGCGCAGTGGGCCACGATAAGGCCAGACGCGGCTGCCAAAAAAACAAAAAAAAAAATAACATTCAATATTCATTATCAATATCAACTGCGCCGCCGCTCCGCTAGATAAGAAATGAATTGACAGCAAGGGCTCCATTTCGGAGCTCCGTTCACAAGTGAACGAGTCTCCGTGCCGAACAGAACCCAACGGTCGACAGCAGCAGTAATAAAAAACAAGTCACAAAAAACTACAAAAAATTATTGTGAAAACGGCTGTGAAAATAAAAAACGAATCGTTGCGCAAATATTTGTTGGGCAATCAAAAGAAGCCTCGGCGCGTGTGGGTCTCGGCAGTGCTCCAACTATCCAAAACTATATCTCGAGCTGAGTTCAGCTTACCCAAGAACTCAAAGACGAAGCATGTCGGAATTTCTGCGGGAACATGTAAGTTCTGCAAAGGGGTTTCCTTATGAATATCCGCGGCAAATATACGTGTAAAGTTTGCCAAAATTCCCGGGAATAATCGAGTTTATAAATACACAGAATTAGTTTAAATCTTGAACATTTGTAATTAATTATTTGGTGAAAAGACGTTGTCTCTTGAAAGAGTTTTACTTCCAATTTGTGCTGTATGTTAGCTCTGGCACGTGATAAACTAAAGCTGTTTCTTATCAAATGAAAGTTCAAAAAGTTCTGCAATCGGGAATGCCAGACTTGAAGATGCCCTTTACAAAGCTAATAAGAGCTGTGCTCTAATACTGTTTAGATTGTTGAGCTCAGACCGAAGAGACGCACATATTTTTTGAAAATGTCACATATTTGAAAAATGTGAAAAATGTGATTTCTTAAGAGGAAATGTCAGGTTTTTGAAAAATGTGAGAAATGTGTTTTCAAATGGGATAACGTACAGGCCACATTTTTCACATTTCACATCAAAAATGTAACATTCGCAGGAAAATGTAAGAAATGTGGCCAGTGGAATTAGGCTATTAGATTGTTGAGCTCAACCCGAAATTACACACATTTACCTGAGTTGATTTTTACCAATTTATATGGATACAAATTAAAACATTGTTTTTAGGGGAAAACAAAAAAATAAAGGTTGAAATGCACCAAAGTGGAATTTATGATGTCATTTCGGCGATATTTTGAATCTTTTCTTACCGAAATGTTCGGCTAAAATTTGCAGCCCACTTGTGTCAGTTGGCACTTTGATTATGACTTGGACTTGGACTATGCGATAATTAGATCATCGTAAAAATTAGTTTTCAATTAAATATAAATTATCAATTTGCAATGGGTTCAGCAGAGGATGACCTCATGTTCATTCACTGATTGCAAATCACGCTTATCACAGAATATTCGAATTGTTAACCCTTTCAGGAATTGGCTTTAAGTTATCTATTTTTTTTTTCGGTTGCCATTAGTCATAATCTTATCAAAGTGCCTAGGCACAGGTGCGCCTTATGTTATTATAGATAAACAAGGTCGCAGCGACTCCATAAAAGAACAAATATATATTGTGAGTTAATAAACATGGATTTAACTGTCTCAATGAGAGCTTAACTCTATAATGGAATACTTTATATTCATTTTATACACTTTCTTTTTGGCAATTATTGACTGTTTGTTGCCGTGTTGTGTTAACCGTTTTGATTGTTAAATACCGATAAGACTCTTTTTTGTATATCGGCATTCCGACGAGATAAGATAAGCACTTCGAACAAATTTGAGGCACCAACTGTTTGCTTAACGGCTACCGTTTTATTCTCCCAAAAACTTTGGCGACTTGAAAGCCTTATTTTAAGCTAACCAAAAGTTCATTAACAAATTTTTTCATATTGATTTCCGCTTGTTTAAGACATATCTTGATTACTTTAAGTGCTATCAGTTCTTTTATAAAGCCCAAGTTCTAAGCAAATTTTACGAATTTGATGTAGCCCCAAACAGACTAAATATTTTGCTGCAGAACTTTTAATCAAAGGTTTTTACTAGTTACATACCGAGGCAATTGTGAGTTGGTTTTCCTTTGATCATGTATAGGAATTTCTGAGCATAAAATCGCTTATCATCATTTATGTTGAGTCTATAATTGTGGTAGCTTGAAACAATATCATTATCAACGATAGCAACGACACGTATTGATTTACATGACGGCAATAATCAATTTGCAGTTACCGAAATTCCTTGACATTGAGTAATATTTCGACTTTTGATATCTAATCGCAAATGAAGAATTGAGGCGCGTGTACATCATTATTATTACATCGATAAGATCTCCCATTCGATGATCAATTGCAGGGCGAGTATGTTTGGGTCAAGCCGCAGAACACGAGCAGCGAATTCGCGGTGCCCTTCGGAGCGCGGATTGTGCGCACGGAGAAGACCCAGACGCTGGTCTGCGATGATGCGAAGAAGCAGTTCTGGGTGCCGGCGGGAGATGTGCTCAAGGCCATGCATCTGACCTCGCACGAGGATGTGGAGGACATGATCACGCTGGGCGATCTGCAGGAGTACACGATTCTGCGCAATCTCCAAACGCGCTACGCCAAACAGTTTATCTACGTAAGTGGGTAGAGAATCCATCTGAGAGCTTTAACTAATAGTTGGTACTCTTTTTGCAGACATACACAGGCTCCATGCTGGTGGCCATCAATCCGTACCAGATACTGCCCATCTATACGCATCGCGAGATTCAATTGTATCGAAATAAGAAGCTCAACGAGTTGCCGCCACACATCTTCGCCGTGAGCGACAATGCCTTCCAGCGCCTGCAGCGCCTGAAGGAGGACCAGTGCGTCGTGATTAGCGGCGAGTCCGGAGCCGGCAAGACCGAGAGCACCAAGCTGATCCTGCAGTACCTGGCTGCGATCAGTGGCAAGCACTCCTGGATCGAGCAGCAAATTATCGAGGCGAATCCCATAATGGAAGCCTTCGGCAATGCGAAGACCGTGCGCAACGACAACTCCTCCCGGTTCGGCAAATACATTGACATTCGCTTCACGCCGGAGGGCGCCATACAGGGTGCTCGCATACAGCAGTACCTGCTGGAGAAGTCACGGATTGTCTTCCAGAGTCGCGAGGAGCGCAACTATCACATCTTCTACTGCATGCTGGCGGGGCTGAGTGCAGCGGAGCGGGAACGCCTGCAGCTGCAGGAGCAGAGTCCCAGCCAGTATCATTACCTGGCGCAGGGCGGCTGCTTCACGCTGGCGGGCAAGCAGGATGCCAAGGACTTTGCCGACATACGCGCCGCCATGAAGGTGCTCTCCTTCAAGCAGGAGGAAGTCTGGTGCCTGCTCAGCCTAATGGCTGCCATACTGCATCTGGGCAACTTGCGCTTCAAGGCGACCGAAGTGGCCAACCTGGAGGCAGCCGAGGTCGACGATCCCGTCAACCTGCAGCGTGTGGCACAGCTTCTGGGCCTGCCGGCGACGCCTCTGTATACGGCGCTGACACAACGCACCATCTACGTGCACGGGGAGCACGTGGTGACCAGCCTGTCGAAGGAGGCCGCACTGGAGGGACGCGATGCCTTTGTAAAGTCCCTCTATGACGGCATCTTTGTGCGGATCGTGCGGCGCATCAATGAGACCATCAACAAGCCGCCGACGGAGCCGGTAAACAGCATCGGAGTATTGGACATCTTTGGATTCGAGAACTTCGATAACAACAGCTTTGAGCAGCTGTGCATCAACTATGCCAATGAGAATCTGCAGCAGTTCTTTGTCGGTCACATTTTCAAGGTATCAACTAGCTGGGCGGCTGTTCCTCTCTCAATCAATATTTCTAAATCCTTTGATCTTGCAGATGGAGCAGGCGGAGTACCAGCTGGAGCATATCAATTGGCAGCATATCGACTTTCAGGACAACCAGGATATACTCGATCTCATTGGCATGAAGCCCATCAACATTATGTCGCTCATCGATGAGGAGTCCAAGTTTCCCAAGGGCACGGATCAGACTCTGCTGGAGAAGCTGCACGTCCAGCATGGCAATCGTTCCATCTATGTCAAGGGCAAGACCACGCAAACCTCGCTCTTCGGCATTCGCCACTATGCCGGCGTGGTCATGTACAATCCATTGGGCTTTCTCGAAAAGAATCGCGATTCCTTTAGCGGCGATCTGCGTTCCCTGGTGCAGCGTTCCAGCAACAGGTATCTGGTGGACATATTTCCCCAGGAGCTGCCCATGGACACGGCCAAGAAGCAGCCCACGCTCTGCGTCAAGTTTCGCAACTCCTTGGATATGCTGATGCGAACCTTGTCGCAGGCACATCCCTACTTCATACGCTGCATCAAGCCCAATGAGTATAAGGAACCTAATGTGAGTAGACACAATATTCCGGGAGAGATAAAGATCAGACTCTGATTCGGGTTATATGTCCAATGTATCCTCGATGTCTCTCTCTCTCTCCCTCTCTCTGTTATTCCCTGATAAGTATGCTATAAAAAATGTATATGTTGCTCTATATGAAATTGACCACACGGTTGTTTATTCGGTTTAATTAGTATCTTCAAATCTTATACTTACCTCAATTTCTTTACTCCTCTAGAATTTTGACAAGGAACTGTGTGTGCGTCAGTTGCGCTACTCGGGCATGATGGAGACGGCTCGCATTCGTCGCGCTGGATATCCCATACGCCACGCCTACCGCGCCTTTGTGGAACGCTATCGACTGCTGGTGCCGCGCACGGGTCCGCTCGACCAATGCGACTGCCGCTTGTTGGCGCGACAGATATGCGACGCGGCCTTGCCCGCCGACTCGGATCGCCAGTTTGGACGCACGAAACTCTTCCTGCGGGATGAGGACGATGCGCTCCTGGAGGCAGAACGCTCGCGCATAATGCTTAAATGGATTGTGACCATACAGAGAGGTATACGGCGTGTGCTCTTCCGTCGCTACATGCAGAAATATCGCCAGACCATTGTCACAGTGCAGCGCTATTGGCGAGGACGTGCCCAACGGCGCAGGTACCAGGTGATGCGACTCGGCTTCCATCGGCTGGGCGCCTGCATAGCTGCCCAGCGACTGACCACCCACTTTACGATGGTGCGCAGCCGTACGATAAAGCTGCAGGCGCTCTGCCGCGGCAACCTGGCCAGAAAACGTTTCGCCATGGAGCGGCAAGCCAAGCGGGCGACGCAGCTGCAACTAAACCGAGTAAAAGAGCAGGAACTGCTGCGCCTAAAGGAGCTGGAGCAGCAGCGTCTCAAGCAGCAGCAGGCTGAAGCGGAGCTCCGTTTAAAGGAAAAACAGGCGGCGGAGCAGCGTTTCAAGGAGGAGATCGCGGCACGCAATGCTCAAGCCATGTTGGCTTTGAATCAGCCCAAACGCACAAAGTCCCTGAAGCGATCGGAGCAGCCGCAAATCCGAGCGCAAGTGTTGCCGGCGCCCACGTTGCAGGCACGCATGTCCCTGCCACCGCCCCCGCCGATGTCCCCAATCGCAATTGTGTCGCTGGGCACTCGTCCCTCCAGCAACAGCAACAACAGCGTAGCCAGGACGAATGGCAATGCTGTGGACAGCCCTGGCTACATGGACGTCGAGTCGTCCAAGCAAATTGTGGACGATGTGTTCGGCTTTCTCAACGACGAGCCCGATGTGAGTGGTCCACTGGGGCCGAATGTCAAGGAGAAGTCCTTGATATTCGAGCGGCAATTGCGCCTGCGCAAAGATGTCCCCACCAAGCTGCTGTCCCGACCCGTCAACTACTACGAGGCGGCGCCTCGCAAGGTCGCCGACCAGACGCGTCTCTAGCAGTTGCCGGTTGCCGGGGCAAATTAGACAGCCCTGAACAAATTAGACCGCCCCTTACGATAAGTAGTTAATAGCTGATATTATGAAAATATTCTTCTTCCAATTGATGCAAGCATCTCTTCCAATCGTCTCGCTTTCGTGGGCTTTCTTTTGATGCACCTGTACAAATGTTATATCAATGTCGGCTTGTATATATATATAGTATATATATACGCATACATAGTTTAAATCGATTCGTTTTGTGATCGTTCAATTTGCCCAACGGCTCCCATTTTATAAATGTATATTCTATGTACCAACCTATTTATTATATTTTTTTGTAAATAAAACCCGCTTCGGTGGTGACATCTAAGGAATTTAAAGATATACGCAATCCATTTGGTTTTTTCTTCACTGTAGTTGCTTATGGATCTGGCATTTGTGTCTCAGTTGTCATCGTTTTTGTACACTTTGGTCATTTCATATTGTGCTTTTTGTACTCGATGTCCAGTAGCTTTGCTGATCAATGTCAACTGCAAATTAAAAACATGCCTAAATAAATTTGGACTGAAATACTAGCTGCGGAAATTAGACCTCCTATTTTTCAAGCTATTTTCAGCTTATTTTGATAAGACATTCAATCGCTTGATATTCGAATAGCCACACTTTGGACTACCCATTGACAATATTTACATAAACAGTGTTGGCCAAAAGATTAGAGCTACGTAATCTATAAAATTTGATTGCCCCAAAGATAGAGTCAACAGCTTTATTTATTATTAAATGTGAAGGTGTACACAAGTGGAAACAATAGAAAACTTGTCTTAAAATAATGATTGACGAATTTTTTATTTATTTCGTGCTTTTTGTAAAAAAATAAGAACTTTTATTAAATGTATTTCAAGTTACCTTACCTTCAGTTTCTTACCTTTGAGCCTGCCACTTCTGTAAATGATTATATATGTTTGCACATTAAAATATGAGCATTGTACTGATAATATTAAATGTACTCATTTGATTCGGAATTGATGTGTATATTGAATAGATATTTCCCTTTTATTTTTTTGATATTTGTTCATTAACATTCTCTGTGGAGCATAGCCCATGTATATATTGAGTTATATTTGGTATTTGCCAAAGAAAATTTAAATCTTTTTTTAAGTGTGTTTTAAGTTAGCTTACCTTAAAATTTCGGACTACCTTTGAGCCTACCAGTTTGATCTTAATAGTAAAAGTGTAAATAATTAAATTCGTTTGCAAATTAAAATATAAGAATTTTGCTGATGCAAGTATAATATACTATGTGTATATTGAATAGATATTCCCCATTCATTTATTTATTTTAATAATATTTCTTCATTACCATTCTCTGAGGAGCTTAAACCATGTTCTATGTATATTGAGTGTCTTTCTAATTTAGGAATATGGTATTTCAGGCATTAGCTTAAACGTTTCATTCACCAGCAATATTCCATTGAAATGAAACAACAGCAAAACAGCAAAAACAGCAAAAATCTTTAATATTTATTGACAAAAATGTAGATTTCATTCCACAGCCGCTTTTTTAGAGTCCAGATACGCACGGCGTCGAATATAGTCAGCAACTAAGTTTAGAATTGAAATTATGTTAGCAAGAAGCTCCAGCTATCGCTATCGAAAAGCTTTGGCAGTTTAAAACAAATGCCCCGCATGATAAATGAAATAAAATGCGATCGTAAATAATCGGACGGACTCTTATCGGATCGGCATATCTACTTGAAAAAACCTTAATACCAGCGCGCTTTGTTAGGCGTCACCTACACGGATTAAAGCTGTCAGAATTTCATTATAAATTAACTCAGGGAATGTGTATAAGAGAAACTGACCAAAATGCTGAGGTTGAAATAATTAATTTTTTAGATACACTTACCCAAAAATGTGTTCCTATTCCTATTTACCAATATTGTCATTCCTTTCATTAATAGATAACCCTCAAGAAGAGCAACAGCATCAGCTCCGCTGGCACAATACGCCTGCCCAAGCCGACTCCCACCAATTTGGACACATCGGACTTTAGCTTCTTGAAGTTTGCCTCGACTTATTTCTGCAACGGCATCACATATCAGCACGAGAGGAAGCCTCTGAAGCAGCCTCTTTTGAAACATGATCTACCCATGGATCAAACGGCTGCCAAGGCAAGTGACCCTCATCTGACACAAGTTAATTCCGGACTCACCATTTTCTCTCCTTAGGCCATTTGGCTGATGATTCTGCGCTTTATGGGCGATCTGCCGGAGGCAGCGCCCAGCCCGACCCATCATTCCCTGCGTAACCCACAACTTATGCAGGATATGGCGCGCATTCTCGGCTCCAAGCCGCGTCGCTTTGTCAGGCAAACCGTCAAGCGTCAAACAAGTATGATTGGCAATGGTCATCAGGATGCCGAGGAGTTCTATCAGCTCTGGATAAACGTCGGCAGCAGCCATCTGGACAAGATTCACATCATAATTGGACATGGTATCTTAAGAGAAGGCTTAAGGTAAGTTGCGACTCTCTTGGATCTAGTCTCTTGGGTCTATCCTCTTGGGTCTATCCTCTTGAGTTTATGCCAGATATTTTTGGAATTTTAATTTTAATTATGATAGAATTAGCTGTTGATTCCAAGCTAAGGCCCATTTATACACACTTATGTTTGTTTACGCACCTTCTTTGATTTCCTTACAGAGACGAGATCCTCGCTCAGATCTGCAAGCAGCTGTACCTGAATCCCAGTCGCAGCTCGCTCTCCCGCGGCTGGTTGCTGCTCTCGCTCTGCTTGAGCTGCTTTCCACCCACAGCCAATTTCGAGCCCTATCTGCGCAGCTACATGAAGGCGGGCACCGCCAAGCTGCAGGCGGCGCCTTGTCTACAGCATCTGGAGCGCACCTTGGTCAACGGGGCGCGTTCCCAACCTCCCTCGCTCTTGGAGCTGCAGGCGATTCGCAGTCGCCAGCCTTTGAAGTTGGCGATTTATTTGATGGACGGCGAAGCTCGCAAATTGCAGGTGGATGCAGCCAGCACGGCCAGGGAGGTAGTGCAGCAGCTGTGCGATGGGCTCGGTCTAAGCGACAGCTTTGGCTTCGGCTTGGTTTTGTCGTTGCACGAGAAGCTCATGCCCCTGGGAGCCGGACGCGAACACGTGCTGGACGCTATTGCCAGCTGCGAGCAACGCCAAGCGGATGCACCTTGGAAGCTGTACTTGCGCAAGGAACTGTTCGGGGCCTGGTATGATCCTGCGCTGGATCCCCAGGCAACGCATCTCATCTACAAGCAGATTCTGAGCGGCTTAAAGTGTGGCGAATATCGCTGTCGCTCAGAGAAGGATATCGCGATGGTCTGTGCCCTGGCCTCCTACATTGAGCATGGGGCACAACCCGTGGCAAGGCTCTCTGACAGCCAGCTGACGGCCTTTGTGCCGCAGGATCTGCTTGCGCCGGGCGAACGGGCCGTACAGAACTGGAGTCGATTGATTGCAGCAACGTACGAGAGCAGCGCCTATGTGAAGAAGGGCCAGGACGAGAAGTCGCAGCAGCGTGCCAAGGAAGACATTTGCCTGTTTGCCCATCTGTCCTGGCCCCTGCGCCATTCTCGTCTCTACGAAGTGCTCCGCGTGTCCGGCCCCAAATTGCAGAGCGATGATCTCATGCTGGCTGTTAATGCCACAGGACTCTCGCTCATTGACGAAACGGAGCAGGTGCTCGCATCCTGCAGCTATGCGGAGCTGCTCAAGGTGCACTATCGAGCCAGCGACCAGATACACGTCCTTACCGCCCAACAGGAGAACTTTGTGCTGCAGTCCAGCGAGGCTCTCGATGCAGTTGAGCTGATTGACTTCATGCTGGTCAGCCTGCAGCAACGCTCCAGCTACGGCGTAGCCATAGACAACACCCAGGCACAGTCTGAACAGGATGACCTGCTGGCGCTAACAGCCGGGGATCTGGTGCAGTTCGAAGCGGGTGTCACGGGTGCCCAGTTGATGGCAAAGGATCCCAGATGCAGCTGGCGTGGCTGTGCCAATGGACAGTGGGGTCAATTTGTCGCCGCCAATGTGCGCATCCTGGCCACGCTCTCGAAGCCCAGCGCACAGTTACAGCAGATATTCAAAGAGCGAACGAGTCGGAACCTTGCAGAACAACCTGAGGCAAAGGGCTCGACGGCAGCTCCGCGTCGTCGAAATCATAGTTTGGCCCAGTTTGCTGAGATGCAGTTCCGAGAGCGCTTGGAGTAGGTTCCTTTGTAGACTTGTGTTTAATTTGAAGTTGCTTAAAGTTTCGCCTATCCACAGATCGGAGCAGTCCCCTTTGTGGAGGTATTCAGCCGAGCCACTGAAGGCACCGCTCCTTAGGTCTCTGCACTCCAAGCCGCAGCTCTACCAACAGGCACAAGTCATTCATCATCACATACTGAAGGTAGGCCAGGTTTATATGCTATTCTGATCAGCCTAACAGTTCGTATTCCTTCAGTACATGGGCGATATAGCACGCGGTAATCTACCTGTGAATACGGATTTAATCTTCCAGCCGGCTCTGCAAGAGCCGTTGCTCTGTGATGAGGTCTTCTGTCAGCTCTTGAAGCAGCTAAGCGACAATCCGCTGGAGGTGAGCGAGGATCGTGGCTGGGACTTGCTCTATCTGGCCACAGGCATCATGGCGCCCAGTGTGCTGATAATGCGTGAACTAATTCTGTTCCTGAGCCTGCGGCACGATGCACTGGCAGATGCATGCCTGAGGCGTTTGAAACGTTCCGTGCAGTACGGGCCGAGAAAGCATGCCCCGCACCTGATTGAGGTGGAGGGGATCCAGCAACGTTGCATGCACATCTATCATAAGATCTACTTCCCGGACGATACTGTGGAGGCCTTTGAGATAGAGTCGCATACGCGGGGAGCGGATCTCATCAGGGAGATAGCAAATCGTTTGGAGCTTAAGTCGCAGTTGGGTTTCAGTATTTTTCTGAAAATGGGCGAGAAGATTTACGCCATTCCCGAGGCAGAGTTTGTGTTCGATTTCATCACGGAACTTTTGCACTTTCCCCGCCAGCAGAAGACAATCCGCGCCAGCTGCGATGGCCACTACCAGCTGCACTTTATGCGCAAGCTTTGGCTCAACTGTCAGCCGGGCACGGATTTCAATGCGGATATGATCTTCAGCTATCCACAAGAATTGCATAAGTACCTTAAGGGCTACTATGCCGTTGACCTCGAGCTGGCCTTGCAGCTGGTCAAACTAATTTACAGGGCGGATCGGGATAATGAGGAAGGTTTGCCGCTGCATGAGCTGCTGCCACGTCTGGTGCCTGAGGACTTGCTACCGTTGCAGACGCTGGCCGAGTGGCATCAACAGCTCTCGCCAATTATGCAGCAAGAGGACGGCGTTGACGAGGAACAAGCGAAGCTGATGTTTCTACAGGAGCTTGCCAAGCAGCTGTGCTTTGGCTCCACGTTCTTCGTTGTCAAGCAGCTGAACGACAAGTCCCTGCCCGAGAATCTTTTGATAGCGATTAACAGCACAGGCTTCCATCTACTCGATGTGCATACGAAAAATCTTCTGAGAAGCTACAGCTACACGGAACTGGGCATGTGGAGCTCCGGCAAGAACCACTTTCACATACGATTTGGCAACATGATTGGCGCCTCGAAGCTGCTCTGCAGCACTAGCCAAGGCTACAAGATGGATGATCTGTTGGCGTCCTACATGAGCTACTTTAATGATGACCAATAACCGATAGAAATAAATTTTGGATTATATATAACCTAGCTGGCTGGTCTTGTCAATCAGGGCAACCATGCCGGCCATCAGCTCATCGCAGTTGGGCAGAATCTGAGCGGGCGGTAGTACGAAGCCAAAATTTCCCTTATCTCGAAACTCAATGGTATAGCCCACCTTTTTGTCCAGCTCATTGAAGACCCAATCGACAGACGAACCGGAAGCGACATCTACAAAAATAAAAATAAATTTGTTATTATTATGAAAAGTCTGAAAATTGATCGACCTACATAACGTTGAGGCTGTGGAACCGTAAACATAGTCAGTGCCATAGACCAAATTTTTGATGGCGCCGGCAAAGGCGGCGCCAATTTCTTGCAAATCGTCGTAGTTTTCAGGGAACTCTTCTTCTGTGTGGCCATAAGGTGACAGCAACCATTGGCCGTAGGAGTGAAAAGATAGGTACACGCTGAATTTATCCTTGATGCTCGTTAGATAATCGGCGAGCGCCTTCGTCTCTGGCTCCGACCAAGCTGAGTCGCCGGCAAATGTCTGGCTGCAAGGATCCGACGAGGCGCCATTATTTTCCATCCAGTGTGAATTGAAGTTACGATTGCCATCGACTCCGATGCAGGACGAGGTGGCGTGCGGTTGACGCGTCTTGCGCCACAACCGATTCTATGTTACAAAGTTCGGTTAGCTAACCCAGCTATCAAATAAATCGTGAGGCTTACCGATCGATGGGAGTATTCAAAGCCATCAACATTAAACACGGGCACAATATACCAATCGTAGCTCTCCGCCAAGTTGCGCACCTCAGTTTTCTGTGAGGTAAGCAACTCGTTGATGAACCATGTGGCACTGGCCGAGGTGATCCACTCACGTGCGTGTATGTTGGACTCAATGAATATGCCGGGCTTATCGGTGCCATGGGAAATCTTGATGCCACGAATGTTTCGTCCCTCGTAGGACTGGCCAATAGAGAACCCTTCAGTCACGTTTGGATAGGTTGACAATATTTCATCCAACCACGCCTCGATCTCGGCCAGTTCATGGTACCGCTTCCAGCCAAAGGTGCCGCTATCTCTGTTGGATATTTGCTCGTCGTCGATAAGCCTAAATATCAAGCAGTAAACTTTATAGTACGCAATATTAATACACGATTTGCCCACGTCTTATCGTCGAACAAAAAATCAATTATATAACAGGGCTCTAGCAAAGGAATTTGAAACATGAAAAACCCTTTTCTAATATCCTTAGGCAATACTTACTTTTGTACATTGTCTATTAAGAGCTGGCTGCTGATACCAAAGAATTTAAGGAGTAGCTGAAAGCGCGTTGACTCAGACGGACTGACCATAATGTGCATTTGCTTGGTGTGCTCATCGTATTCCTTCCAGATATTATACTAAACCGTAATTGCATACAGAAATCACAATAGCTTCAGCTTTTCAATTTACAATCCCTTACATACCTTTTGGCTAAGCTCACCCAGTTTATTTATCAGTGATAATTGTATTTTATTCTTTATGCGTAACTGGTACACACTGTAGTTATCGTATCGCGTCTTCGGTGGGTCCTTGAGTGTCCCAGCGCTAGCTAGGACCACAAGCGTTGCAAGCACCCAAATCAGACGCATAGCGATAATTGACTGATTGATATCGTAGTCAAACTAAAACTTGATAGCTAAGTAGCATTCCAACACATTTTTCTGGAAATTATCTTTATTGATTTATGACTGTCCAGCTTTCCAGCCAAATTAAACTCACATTTAGGTTTCAGGTAAACCAGCTTTTAGATTCAGCTTTCAAAGATATTATGCCAATTAAGGCGTCTTTGGCAAAACATGTAACGTGGAGCCCCTTGCTTTTCGTAGATTTGAGTCAAAATTTGTATGACGCCAATTGATAGTAGGGATCCGTACGAATGCAAATAGGTATAACATTTCAAAATCAGACAATATTTTCCCGAGATAACCAAAAATAATCATTAAAAAAGTATTGATTTTCGAACCGACCCCGACTTTGAGGAAAAAAACCAAGTAACCTTTTGCCATTTTGATGATTTTGGTCAAAATTTAGATTTTTTGATTTTTTGATGCCAATCGATGGTACTGATCCTCACGAGTCCAAAATGGTATAAAATTCGAAAATCTGACATTATTTGGCCGAGATGTTCCAAAATATCATCAAAAGACTTTACAAACGAATCGCTTTTTGGTCCACAGCTTTTTTCAACCTATCGAATTTTAAATTGTTTGAATGCCAATTGATAGTAGGGATCCGTATGAATTCAAAAAGGTATAACATTTTAAAATCAGACAAGATTTACCAGAAATAAAAAAAAAAATTTCAATAAGTTTTGATTTTCGAATCGACCCCTTTTTTAAAAAAAAAAGTGACCCTCAAATATCCCATCCTCATAACTCTGTCAAATCTCTTTGTTTATGGTTGGACCTCTTGATCAATTTGGCATCGAAATCTGGCAACATTATTCTAGGTCAAAATTCATGGGAAAATGGTACGTTAAAATTATTTTGTGTACTCACCTTTATCATGCCTATAAAACTACTTGTTGTGTGCGATGTGATCAATTTGCAATTTTACATAACAAATATACTTTTTGGACCAGCGGATGTGATTAATCTTTACTCTCCGTATTATTATTGTTCCTGCACTGCCATCTCGCTTCATCTCACATGTGGTATGCTAACATTCTTTTCAAAACGTAAATGCATATTAATACGCAGCTCCTTGCCGGGCCACCTTGCAGCTTCAACTGAAGCCCAACTGCAAAGCGCTGCTCTATTTATACTGTTGACTCTTCTTCTTTCAATCGTAGCTGTTGGTCCAGCAGTTGTCATTACTCTTTACTCTCCTTATTATTATTGTTCCTGCACTGCCATCTCGCTTCCTCTCACATGTGGTATGCTTACATTATTTTCAACACGTAAATGCATATTAATACGCAGTTCCTTGTTGGACCAGCTTGCATTTTCAACAGAAGCCCAACTGCAAAGCGCTGCTCTATTTATACTGTTGACTCTTCTTCTTTCAATCGTAGCTGTTGGTCCAGCAGTTTTCATTACTTTTTAATTTCCTTAATATTATAGTTTCTACAATGCCATCTCGCTTCCTCTCACATGTGGTATCCTTACATTATTTTCAACACGTAAATGCATATTAATACGCAGCTCCTTGCCGGGCCACCTTGCAGCTTCAACTGAAGCCCAACTGCAAAGCGCTGCTCTATTTATACTGTTGACTCTTCTTCTTTCAATCGTAGCTGTTGGTCCAGCAGTTGTCATTACTCTTTACTCTCCTTATTATTATTGTTCCTGCACTGCCATCTCGCTTCCTCTCACATGTGGTATGCTTACATTATTTTCAACACGTAAATGCATATTAATACGCAGTTCCTTGTTGGACCAGCTTGCATTTTCAACAGAAGCCCAACTGCAAAGCGCTGCTCTATTTATACTGTTGACTCTTCTTCTTTCAATCGTAGCTGTTGGTCCAGCAGTTTTCATTACTTTTTAATTTCCTTAATATTATAGTTTCTACAATGCCATCTCGCTTCCTCTCACATGTGGTATGCTTACATTATTTTCAACACGTAAATGCATATTAATACGCAGCTCCTTGCCGGGCCACCTTGCAGCTTCAACTGAAGCCCAACTGCAAAGCGCTGCTCTATTTATACTGTTGACTCTTCTTCTTTCAATCGTAGCTGTTGGTCCAGCAGTTGTCATTACTCTTTACTCTCCTAATTATTATTGTTCCTGCAATGCCATCTCGCTCTCGCTCACTTGTGAACCGCTTACATTATTTTCAACACGTAAATGCATATTAATACGCAGCTTCTTGCCGGGCCACCTTGCAGCTTCAACTGAAGCCCAACTGCAAAGCGCTGCTCTATTTATACTGTTGACTCTTCTTCTTTCAATCGTGAGCCTTAATGCACTGCGCTCTCGCTACAACATTTTTGTCTGCTGTTCTCTTCAGAATCTTGACTTACTTTTACTACTACTCTCTCTCTCCTTCTTAACAGCAACTCTCATCTTGTTGATCATCATCATCATCAGTCAGGACAAACAGTTGTTTATATAGAGATAATATTTAGCTTTCAATGCGATTGGACCAAATACCGCACCAGATCATCGTAACTCTCTTAAAAATGCTCAATTATATTGTCCTTTAAAATACATAAATAATTGTTCCAAGCTTTAATTATGTAAATATATATAGTTTTTTCTCTTAAGCTTAACCACGAGGTGTGCAAAGCAATAAAAAATATAATATTTACTGAGCTCACCTATGTAGTCAAGTGAGACTGTAAATTATAGAGTACCAAGAAGCTCATTAATGAAAGCATGTGAACTTCATTACGTACTTTAAATCTACAACCACATGATTAACTAATAGAGGGTCATTGATTGTGCCTGAGTATTACTTATAACCAAAAGCATACGGCAAAGGTATTTCATGGAAATTTTCTTAATAGCGTAGCGCTCTTAAGAACCTGATAACTAAGTGGACAATTAAAAGGCATTTAAATTAACGTTGTTTTATTTGCTTATTGTAGTTTACCTGCCAAGCGACAACATGGTTATATGTATTTGGGTTCCAAATAACCCAACTCTTTTGATTCAGCCAGTAGGGCAATTATACCAATCAATGCCTCTTCGGCATTGGGTATTATGAACGCAGATGGCAGTACAAACCCGAAATTCCCGGTGTCACGAAACTCAATGGTGTAGGATATTTTGATATCCTGTTCGTTGTATGCCCAATCGATAGTGGTGCCTGAGGCGGGATCTAAAATTGATTCATATTATTATATGCCGAATATGTATGTAATTTTGTATAGCTCACAGAGAATGCCAGCTGACGAGCCGTATCTGTACACTGTGCCATAGGGCAGATCCTTAACCGTATCGCTATAGGCCTTGGCAACTTGCATTAGGTCATCGTAGTTCTCCGGGACCTCGTCTTTGGTATGCCCATAAGGTGATAACAAGAGTTGACTATAGGAGTGGAAGGCTATCATAATATTCAGTTTATCCTTGATGCTGGCCACAAAATCCGACAAGGCCTTCGTCTCCGGCTCCGAGAATGCATGCGGCCCAGCGTAGGCCTCATTGCAGGGATCCGAGGAAGCGCCGCCATTCTCCATCCAATGCGAGTCGTAGTTTCGATTCGGATCAACGCCAATGCACTGGGAAATGTTCGAAGGTTGACGTGTCTTACGCCACAAACGATCCTGTGTACAAATAGGCGGTAAGATAAATATCCTTACTTAGGATTCAATTGGACTAACTTTTTCGTGGGTGTAGACAAATCCATCTACATTTAGCACCGGCACAATATACCAGTCATGGCTTTCGGCCAAATCCCGCACCAGATCATCGCTAGAGCTGAGTAGCTCATTGATCAACCACGTGGCCGTGGCTGAGGTTATCCATTCGCGCGCATGTATATTGGATTCTATGAAGACGCCCGGGTTTCCTGATCTATATGAGATCTTTATGCCGCGTATGTCACGACCCTCATATGATTTACCGACGACAAACCCATCAGTAACATCCGGATAGCCAGCGAGTATTTCATCCAGCCAAGCATCAATTTCAGCCAAGCTATTATAGCGTGTCCAACCGAACTTATCAGAAGCCCTTGCATCCGCCTCATTCTCTTTATCGATCAAACTTGAAAAGTAATATTAAAAAGTTCACAAAATAATCCCATTTAGATCCCAAGTTCTCTTCTACTTACTCCTGTACATTTGCAATAAGGATCTCAGCACTAGCATTATTTCTTTTCAATGTTTCCTCGAAAAATGGCAATGCATTTGGCGCGACCATCAAATAACACTCAGAACTATCCTCGTGCCACAATCGGAACTGCAAAAACGTTGCGAGTGATCGGAATATCCGGCGCATTTTAATTTATATCCCACTTACACTCTGATATATTTTGGTCAAATCGAGCAGCTTTTGTCGCTGCATTTCGGTTTCGTACTTGATTTTAAAAACCTTGTAGTTATCATAGCGCACTTTTTGCTGAATTTCTGTTTTTTGAAAAATACTAGCCGCGTTAATTGTGGCAACAAAAAAGATTACAGTAAATAACGCGTATAGCCTCATGTTTGCCGCTTGGTGTTTGTTGGACAACTGATATATTTCTGGTAGTTCGGCTAGCAGTTGGGTAAAAATGTCAAGCCATAAAGATTATGATTAAAGAATTTACTAGTCGGTAGTACTTATTGCAATGATAACAACTTTTCAACTATTCTCAATTATTTTACCTATTAAGAATACCCTGTAAATTGTTGAAATTTCAATAAGGACTCTTTCATTGAGGACTCTTAAAAGAAACTTACCCGAAAATAAATGTTCCCAATTTATTTAGTTCAGAATCGATAGAATCTTGGAAAAAATTGACGATATGACAACTCTTGCCATACTTTATACATTTGTTGAAAATGTTGAATTTTTGAATAGTCGTTATCCGAAAATTGTACGTTGTTTCTGCGATATATATTCAGTACTTTAGGAAATAAATGAATGCTAAATAAGCAATTAATAATGCACATTAATTTTATTGAAACTTTATTGAGCTGCAGTTATATGGTGGATTATTCATGTCTTTGCTTTGTCTTTGAGCAAGTTGGAGGATCAACAACTGTAGTTTACTTGTCCTTTTTGCATCCTTCACCACAATCGGTGCCTTCGCAAATGTCACACAGCGAGGACTTCACCTGATAGTACTCGGTGGCACGGCGATCCGTCTCGTAGTAGTCGTACAGGGACACAGCGGCGGGTTTTTGTTTGGCCACCGAATGCGCCCGGACGCCTTCCACAGGTAAACACTTCACATCCCCCGGTGTCAAGCTGTCGAAGTAGACAATCACCATGGAGTTCGCGTTCTTGGTTTCGATGCGCTTCACTCTATCGACCGCTTGAATTTTGTCAAAGCTATCCGTGTCGCCAACATAGCCGGAAGGCAAAGTTATTTCCATAACGGCCATGTTAGAGTCCTTCTGCTGGTCGCTCATCTCAAGGGGCACGTACTCGGCGCACACCTCCAGAGTCAGTTGCTGCAGGGGCGTGTCCTTCACAGTAGGCGTCACCTTAAAGCTGGGCTTCTTATCCTTCTCAGCTAGGTTATATCTGTAGGACAATTGAACCATTGCCGACCCCTGGCCCTTGGCGGTGAAGTTAACATTACGTGTGCTCTTGGGCAGAACATGACTTTGGAGTACCAGTGAATTTTCCGGATTCACTTTAATACTACCCTTGTTGTCACTATCCGAAACGAAGTCAATGTCAACATTGCCAGTGCCAGATCCGGTCTTGGAGGCAAAGTTTGTCAGGGCTTGCAGTCCGATGACCGTGTCCTGCGTGGAGGTGAAGCCGCCATTGCTGTTTCGCTGGGCGATCAGCCACTTGATTATTGGCAGCGAAGCATCTGCCGGCTCTTCCTCCAACAGAGCCAACAACACATAGGAAGTTATTTCGACATCATTGCTGCTAGGACGCCAATAGGTTAAGCGCTCAGCTGAAGTGAAGGACTTTTCGGGAGCCTTGGTCCACCACTTGCGACCATCCTCCTGTTTAGCGACGCTCTGAAGCTTAGCTAGAACTTTCTTTGCCTGCGGATGCTTGGCTAATTGCAGAGCAACAGCCGAGATCGATAGGGAATATTGATCATCTGTCTTGTCGACCTCTTGAGCGACGTACTGCAGAGCCTTGTCAATGGTCTCTTGATACTTTGATATGACCTCCTGCAAATCGTGGAGTTAACTAAGGTTAAGACCTTGGAACAAGCAGGAGTTTACTTACTTCGTTTTCGAAGAACGCGATCAGCACGAAGGAGGTGAGTCCTAAGGCATTCTGATTGGCATTGTCAAACAGCTTGCCCACCTCGGGGAACTCGCCGTTATCCTTCTGCTTGGATGCAAGGAAATCCAGGCCCTGCACTATAACCTTGGGATCGACATCCGTGTATCTAGCGGCCTGGTGGAAGGAGCGCACAACATAGGCCGTTAACCAGGTGCTACCCGAAGGATCCGATTTGCCAAAAGCGCTGTAGGAGCCATCATCGTGCTTGTAGGTGAGTTCACGCTGGTAACCGATTTCGAGAAACTTCTTCGCCTTGGCCACAACGCTGGGCATTTTTCGACCAGTCACCTCCAGATATTTGACTACCAAAATATTTGGAACAAAGTTGACCATGTTCTGCTCACCACAGCCATAGGGCATTCGCACCAAGTTATCCAAGTTCTTAATGGTGGGGCCCAGAAGATCACCAACCACAGAGAACTCTATAAATTCCGAATCTTCAACGGCTTCGTTGGGTATAGTGGCCTTCAGCTCTTGACTCATTTCGGATTGGTTCTTCAGATTAACGAAAAGAGCCTTATTCTCGAACTGTGTGACGCCCTCCGGATCGACCTTCAATTTCTGATGAATCGCATCGCCCGCTAGTGGAGTTGTCGCTGTGATTTTCAAGGTGATCGATCCCACTTTCTTGGGGCGTATCATAAAGGAGACGCTCTGGCCGTTGTTCGAGGGTATGGTAATGCGCTTCACGCGTTTTATTTCATCTATTGACTTCTCCTCGACCTCGTTGGTAGCCTCTGTGAACTCGTACTCCTTGTCTGAATTGTCCATTGTGACCTCAGCGTCGAGCACTTTATCCATGTAGTTGAAAACAATTACGGGTACGGCAATGACCTCACCTGTAAAAATGATGACAGTATTATATATCATATTGGCGACTATCTCTGTTTGGTACTTACCGCGCTTTACCGAATAGGGTAGATTCGTGGAGACGAAGAAAGGCTGGAACACTCGAATCTTGCTGGGATTCTGGGTTAGAGCAAATCCGGTAATCGGATTCAACGAGAAACCGGTAACAACCCACGAAGTGATCGTATCTGGGATCTTTTTGGTCAAACTAAAGCCCTCTGCATCCGTGCTGTTTCAAGGAAATTAAATAACACACAAAATATTCCATTCAGATATCGACATTCGCATTTAAAGGGTTAAGCACATAAAGGGTTAAGTATTTGTATTTCCTCTGTTAGCAATGAATGTTACAAATGATAAAACGAATAAACCAAACACATATGATCCAAATGTAAGTTAATGTGATGAATGTTATTTTTTTTTTACTGTTCTTGATGCGAAATATTTGTGTACGTTTTTGTGAAATTTCCTTGAAATATCCAAGTTTCCATAAATATTTCGCGTATGGCAGACAATTTTGGGTTCGTCCGATCTTTGGAAATGTTTTCAGTATCAATTGGCTTTTGTGTGGTCTTTCGTATTTTGCTGGCACTCTGCCTTTCCCCACTGACTTTCATTATTGGTATGAAACCCGAGTCCAGTCTCTTAATATTGTTTACTTTAAATGCAGATAAAATGTTTAATTAGTTCGTTAGTAATTAATTACGGTTCTGTGTCAAATAATGTACATTCTGTGTGTGTTATTTATTTGATAATACTGAAAGCGCAGCCCTTTATACCTTTGGCACATTTATTTCTAATCAGTTTAAATGCAAAAGTTACGTTATGTTGTTTAGAAAAATCCAAGTTTCGGGAAATTCTTTGCGAATTTGAGGGGCGGCTGCGGGACCTGGTGCTGGCCGCGGCGGAGGTCCTGGACGACCTGGAGCTCCCGGAGGTACAATCGAAGATGACCCCGCGAGGGGAATGGGAATAGGTCGCAGGTAATATACAATAATTTCTAGGTACAAATTTGGTTTTTTAAATCAGCTATAATAACATTCAAATCAAAAAAAACAAGAGGACTTTCCTATTATTATAATGTAAGATATTAAGCGCGAGTTTTGGCGACCTTTCCATATTTTAAATATAAGATATACATTTATTTTTGTTATTCCGAAAATTTCCCATTTTAATTTTACTATAAACGTTATTATTGTGCACTTATTAGGTGAAGTGTTCGGTGCGATTTTACGATATCAATCATTCATAATATAAAAATGTGTCACAATTACGTTATGTTTACGGCAAATATCCAAGTTTCAGGAAATTCTTTTCGAATTTGAGCTGCGGCAGAAGAGGCGCCTAATCCGGTAATTCCTATAAATTCTGTAGGCTCTACAGTGTTGCTAATAAGACTTGGAGGAAGCGGAACCCCTTTCAAAGCGAAAACCCGATGCACTGGATGTCGCAACATTCGCAAACCTAAGCGCAAATAGCTCATTTTAAAAATGTGCCTAAATATCTAACAAATACGTAGTACTTAATCATAAGAGGGTTTTAAATGTAGAACTAATTTCTTAACCGACTACCAACACATCAGTTTAAAGAAAGATTCAGTTTCAACATTTTTTAGAGGAACACAAAACTAATAATTACCCGTAAACCTGAAGACGAGTGTTTGATTTAACTGTTTATGAAAATAAAGGTGATTTTAAAGGTGAGGACTAGAAGTCCGAAAAATTGATAAACGTAAGTTTCCCAAAATATTAACTGTACAACTTTCATACTTCTCGCTGTGTTCAAAAATCCAGCTTTCGGAAAACTCTTTACGTATTTCTGGTATATTCTGGTCGGAAACGATATCAATGGAAACTGCCACGCTATCTAGTTCAAGTGCCACATGGAATACATCTGCCAGAAAAAATAAAATGATTAATGTTGCCTGAAAAAAAGGCTACTCCATCAAATTGGTTAGCTGCAAGCGCCTTGGTAAAATGTGATCAATGTTAGTTTTAACGCTTATTCCATACAGATTTTTAGACTAGATATAACAGTTAGTTGTTTGCCCAAAAAAACACAGTACTATGTAAGATTTTTACAATTACGTCAGATTGTTAACAAATATCCAGGTTTCAGGAAATTCTTTCCGAATTTCGGGGACCACAGTAGGAGCAGAAACTGCTCCTGGAAATCCTGCCCCAGAAAGTCTGTCAGCTGCCATCGAGTACAGCACAATCCCGGGACTAAACAAAGGTAGGGCTTCGGCATAGTATATGTGACCTACGTACAATTGGTTGGTTTTTAGTAAGACTTAAAATAAAGATGATTTAAGCGGGCCGAGACATTGAGACAAAAGTGAAAGAGAATCCAGACTGAAGACAATCACATTTCAAATCAAATCAAAATCGTACTTTTTCACATTATCAAATATCCAGCTTTCCGGAAACTCTGCACGAACTTGTATCTTCTCCTCAAAGGCAATTGTGTCTGCATGATACACGTTGTCACTTAATAAATATGCCACGTAGGGGTAACTATCTGATAAAAAATATATATAACCATATATAAGCGAAAAGATCTACATGCAATAGGTTGGGTTAAGTAAGCCTTAAAATAAAGTTGATTTCAACGTGCCGAGACATTGACAAAAGCGAAAAATCTGAATCAGAACTGAAGACAATTACAATTTTAAGAAATAATCAAAATCGTACTTTTCAACATTCTCAAATATCCAGCTATCCGGAAAGTCTGCACGTACTTGTATCGCCATTTCAACGGGACGATTCACGTGGGCACTTAATAAATATGCCTTGTCGAAGTAATTCTCTGCTTAAAACATATAATCATATATCACTTAGTATATATACATACTAGGAAGAAAGACCTCAACCTTAGCTAGCTAGGTGAAGTCTCCAACTAATTGTTACTTTGTTTAATACTTCTAATTAATACGTGCGCTTCATGCTTTAGGACTTTAGGCATCAAAAACCCACCTCAAATTGGCTGAATGCCAAATCCAAAGCTCTGCGAAATTATCGCGTACCAATTCAATTTGATGCGCTTGCGGCGAATCTATTTCATCTCTGGCAACAAAATCATCTAATGCTTCATCTTCTTCTAGGTATATTGGATAAGTATCAAACATGCCGTCAACCGCATCGTATGAACGTGTCGCTAAAATTCGTACACCAAGAAATAAGTTCTAGCCCTAACAGAATATCTCCTCCTCTTAATAATTGAGCTATATTTGCTTGTTCCGGTTTTATGCCCCCCTTGAACTTACCGAAATTATAGGGATAATTGGCATTTGTTAGGGTTACCAAACCGGAAGACTGCCCCGGATACCGACCATAGCCCTGTTGCCAGGGCGTAGATGTTTTGTACTTGTTGAGGCTATTAAAGACATCATCCCGAGCCAAATCATTGCCCGACTTAAGCAAGAGAACACTCTGATCCACGCCAAGTAGCCCAACATACGAGTCGGCATCAGTTTTGATTTGCAGTTTGACCTCCTCGCTGGGCTTGGCTTCCAGAGGAGCAGAAATCTCGATCTGTGTTTGGTAATCTTTATTTTCGAGCTGGAAGATTGCGGTTCTGTCTACATACCGAGTTCTCGAAATCCTTATCGAAATCAATGGATCGCTCTTCGAAGCGCAGCTCGTTGTTAAAGACGTAATACACATAAATCGAGGACTGCGGCACCATGGCAAAGCTGGGCGTAAACTTCACGGTGTGGCTCTTGCGACCTTCTGGTACCTCGACATGTTCGGCCTTCACAATATTTCCCCGGGCGACAATTGCGTAGACGAAGTACGGTATATGCTCGTCCGACTTAACATCGAAGGAAACGTCGTTGCCGAGCTTAAGACTAATTGTGAAATTATATTAAAGAAAGGGAAATGGATGTCTTTTTTGGAACTTACGATTTTGAGTTAACTTGAATCTTAAGCGGTTCGGATGATTCGACAGTCGGCTCAAATTCGCGTATGGAGCCCAGGTAGGAGCTGGAGTCCGCGTAGGATCCTCTGATACTTAAATGGCTATTCTCTTTTTTGGGCAGGACAACGTTAAATGTGGCAATACCGTGCTCGTTGACAGGAGCTTCGAACTCAATGGTCTCGTTTGAAGCTGTGGGCGTCGGTTGTAAATCGAAATTGAAATATCTGTACGACGGATCGAATGCCAGTTTTGCCTTCTTCGTGGCATCTCGTACAGGTGAACCGTCCAGATTTTTGACTACAAACTGATAGACAAACGCCTTGCCCGGATGATATTGGGTCACTGGATCGACGGACTCAAGTTTGTGGCGCTGCGAGTGCAGGGTGACAACAGTCGATGCGTTTTGTTTGTTGCCCGTAAGATCCTCGGTTACCTCGGCAAAAATCTTCAAGGGCGGCGTATAACGTGAGTTATATTGCGAGCCTTGGATTGGGAATTCGACATGACCCTTGCCATCGACGTCGATTGTTTTCATCTGATGCACGTTGCTGTCACCGGGGCTAAAGTAGCTATAGTTCGGCTCAATGGAGACGGTCGCCTTGCCCTTCACCGGCTTGCCGTATGTGTATTTGGCCCGAATTGTGGCCTTGATGACACCATCTTGTACGGCCACATCCTTGGCTGATTCCACAATTACCTCGAATTTCGGCAGCACATATTTGGCCACCTCAAAGGACTTTGATTCCGCCTGCTCATCCGCCACATTGACTGCGATATTCCACATGCCCAGCACCGGCTGCTCCGACAGCTGCAGCTCTCCTACAAACACGCCCTTGGTCAACTGAACGTCCGTCAATTGCTTGATGCGATTCTGGGCTCCGTCCGTGATTGCAATCGTAATCGGCTTGTCGATGCCCGCAGGTCGTGTGTTCTCGTCCAGAAATAGAACTCGGAACTGGACTAGATCTGATGGCTTGTAGGTTGCCTTATCGGATTGTATAAATATTGATGGCTTGTTATCGGCATAGTTCAGCTTGGTGGAATTTTCAAAGATAACGCCCTCAATTCCGGCTGCTGTCAAATTGTAATCTCCATTCACCAACTTTGGCACATCGAACTCCACGTTCGCCGTCGACATGGGCTGCAGCTCCACCTGCTTTGTCTCATTATACGATGGTCCAGTTATGCCCACCTTTATGATGCTTTTCCCCTCAGCCTTGTGCACGGAAACGGCCACATTATATTTGAAATTTGAGCGTATGGTGCCAGGTCCGATTACCGTGTACAGACTGAAAAATTCAAATTAATTCATTAGTACTATTATTCTAAGATAATTTTATTAGCTAAACTTAATTTTTTTTTTTATTTTATACTTTACAAATATGCAAAGTAATTCTATTTACATTAATCTGAAATTCTAAGCGCTATGAATAAGTAATGGTTTTTTTTTTTATCATTATCTCTCACTCTATGCCAATCAGAAACGAGAAAGAAGTTCTATCTTCGGCACGCCGAATATTTAATACCCTTGCAGACCCGAGTATGGTCAAGATATCTTGAAAAACAAAAAAGTTTTCCATTCAACAACTTACTCTTCGACCGATCGTTCCTATGGCAGCTATATGATATAGTGGTCCGATCCAGCTGGTTCCGATATATCGACTCGACTGATGATACTTATCAAGAATATATGTACATATATAGTTTATGGGGTCGGAGATGTCTCCTTCTATGCGCCACACATCTCACGACAAAATTATAATACCCTCTGCAAGGGTATAAAAATGCAAAGAATCTAAACGTCGCTCGCTTTCAATCAAGCATATCGAAGACATTTTTTTTCGGTGTTGCTTCATTTTTTTGTTCTTCTTAAACATGTCAAGAGATAACGTAATGAGAAAGGTATCGCTATGGAAAGTATGCACACGCTTTACCTTTACCTTTGCGCCTATCCAACCGGTTTTAAATATACAATCATTATCGTAGATAATCTTTCAGTTATATTTTCATTGAATCACTTTGCAGTGTATAAGCATATAAATAGATAAAAGTTGAGCACCTCTTAAATAAGCAATTATATAAATAACTCAAGGCCTAATTTTGGCTTAACTTAGGTTTTGTACATATTACTTACCCAGTGGCATTTACGAGTAGTCCCAATTGAAATACACAAAAATAAAAAACCAAAATCCGCGACATAATCGCGTATTTTGTTATTTTTTTTTTAGTTTTCGGCGAATTCAATAGAAATGGGGTTCCGCGAAACTATAGTCAGGGTATCACTGATTGTGCTTAAACAATTATAATTTAATGATGTACTATATATTCTTTATAGAATAGTGCTGTTGCACATGATTCACAGTAAGTATTGTTTTTATTTTTTTTGTTCTCTATCAGTACACAATACACAAAAAAAGAAACACAGCAAAACAAAGCTCAGCTTCAATTCGTTTGAGCGATCGCAACAGACGTTTCGAAGTGAATCGGATGCCGCTCGGATCCACAATGAGCTCGCTCTGATGCGCAGCGGGCATTAAGTATGATTTTGAGTGTGACACGAACACGGGCTACTATTGTCTATGTATATGTATGTATATATATGTATACGTACCAAGTGTCACAGTGTGTGCTGAGAAATTCCCCGCTGTTTGGGACATATCTGTGAAGTATCGGCATTTCTTTTACCAACGTCACAGCTGAGACTCTTTTCTGTGTGCTTGTTTGTTTGTTTTCGTCGGACTCAAATGAAGCGGACAACTTTGCGAATCAAAAATCTACAAAATCTGTGTTTGACGCAAATAAAAAGATTAGTACATACAAAAAAAAAAACTATCTAATTAATCACATTATTAACTGGTTTACCCCAAAACAATTTTTCGTGTGAATTATAGCAACTAACTTCGAATTAAATCAGAAGTAATAATAATAAATATGATAATAATAATAATAGTGAATAGATTAAAGAGAAACATTTATCAAAATATAAAAAGGTTTTAAAGTCAACGCCCACTTTATACCGCTTAGCGGAGACAACAACCATGCACGCAAGCTTTTCCCCTTTAGTATTTTATACTCAATGCAAGCAAGCTATAAATTCAACAATATATGGTATCTCACTCTAGCTTATTGTCGATTGCGCGTGACGTAATCTGTGTTTAACAGTGTTAGAGCGAGTGCGATAACTCTTATACTCTAAATAAATGTGCCGCGAATTTAAAAGCTATTACAAACTTATATTCCTTGTTACATCTGAATGAACACACAAATACAGATAAGCTAATAACAAATTATGAAATATATTATGATAGTTTTGGTTTCTTTATTAAAAATATTCTACTGGATTGTTGTGTGTTTTGTATATGCGTGTGTTTTCGTATTATACAATTAAACAACTAAGAATATACATACACATAATTTGTTATTTAACTGTTTTGCCCAATAGACAATTACAATATTAATAAACTTTGCTCCTCAGAGGATGCGTAATATGTGGCCACAGCTTGCTGTTTAATATTAATTTAAATTTGCTTTTTATTTCTACATGTATCACAAATTATGTATAAATGATGGGGCAACATAATCCAAAAACGCTTTCCCAATTTATCGGTCGAATAGGTCGTCTTTGGCTTTATCGGCTATTGCTGGCCTTTCTTCCATAGCGTTAGGTTGGGTCTCAAATTAGATGTAAAATTAATATTGCATTTCTTTTGGCGACATTTCACGTTAAAACTAAACATTTACTTAATTTAAAAGATGATGTGTGATCACACATGCGTCTATAAATTACAAAAGATTTTATTGAAGATTAATCGTAAAAATTGTGATAATAATAATAATTGCTTCATATCACCAGTTTGCCTGGACACAATCGAATTCCGTTCCCGTTTCTACGATTTTTCGTCATATTTGTAGATTTTAGATGTTTAATTGCAGTGTTCTTTTCTGTATCACAAAGTTCATACTATATTATGTTTATTTGGGCTCTAAGCACGTTCTATATTATCCGTTTGCACATCTTCTTGAACTCTGACTAAAGACAATTTAGTGAAAGGGATTAAAGTTAAAAGCTAAAATGTTGTCAAAAGGTGGATTTGATTTACGAATGCCTTCAACATAGGGACGGAACGATCAATAAAACGTTGGGCTTTTCTATTAGGTTAAAATAATTGAGTAAAGCAGAAGAAGAAGAAGGTGGAAGGCGAAATATACACAGCAATATAGAAACTTGACGACTTGTCTAAAATTTGTTTATACTTGTTTTTTTCAACCTATTTAAGTTCAGACTCTTATGCTTGGTCACAAGATTTATACTTTATGGGGCTATATTGGGCGCTGTCGAACGTGCCTAATCCGGATGGCTTGCCTATTTATAAATGTACAACTTTATGGGAATTCCGATTTGAGTGAGTGTAATCTACATATTTCGTACCTGGAACAGCTACAATCCGTGTATGATAATATCCTCAAGTTATACAAAGTATTCTACAGCAAATAAACGTGAAACGAAAATTCGAAGCACCATTAAGCTACGCCTATCTACAGTACTTGAAATATAATATAACTCCAATTGCGCGTCCTCTATTTACATTAGATGGAAAGGAAAGTCCTTCTCCTTAGCGTATCATATGCAGCTTCCAGCGGAGCACAAAGTAGGCAATAATACGCAGTGCAAAAAAGATTCCTATCAGAGCTACGGCATCGACCCAGAAGCGTGCATCCTCCATAGACATCCACTCGAGGAACTTCTTGGGAACGCGATGATGACAGTATATCTCGTTGCAATGCAATTTGGCGCGATCCATGCCGTAAATGGAGACCATGGCGCCTACAAAGCGAGAAAATATATAACTTGGACAATTACAGGATATTTAAGATTGCAACTTACCCTCAAAGCCGTAACGCACGTAGCTAACATATGTGACCCACTGTAAATAGGCCGGTATAGTATCGAAGTTGACAAAGAAGCCCGAGAACAGAATAGTTGGTATCGTCGTGACGGGTCCAAGAAAAACACCCGACTCGACATTCATGCCAGCACCAATGAGCAGTCCCAGAGACTGGGCCACGAGAGAGTTGAGCACGCAGATGAACACAAACATCGAGATGCGTTCCAATTCCATGGGCTGCGAGGTCAGATAGTAGACAACCAGTACAAAAACGCTGGAGAAGACGATCTGGAGAGCAACATGTCCATTAATATTTGCAGGTAAGATGCCGAAGTAAGTTATTACCTGAAAGGGAATGTCGGCGATGGTCTTGGCAAAGTAGAACGCCTTGAGTGAGTACCAATAGTTGAGATGCTCCCGCACAAAAACGGACATCTCCGTGGGAACTGTGTGGGATTATATTCATATTGTATATTTGTAAAATTAAATTTTAAATTTCAGCCCTTACATGTCAGAATGGTGGGCATCATGGCCGTAAACGTGGTGAAGAGGGAGACAAAGAAGATGCAGCCCGCATTGCTCATAATCTTGCTGGCCTCGTTGCCCACATCATAGTAGATCATCCCAATGATCGCACCCACAATTATATGCGAGGCCAGCCGCATATGGGTCAGCATTCGATCCCTCATAATTGTCCGAAACGAGCGTTTCAACAGTATCCAAAACTGCGTCCAGCCGCTGGTGGGGAAGCCCGTCTTGTTGGGCAGCGTGACGACACTTTCGTGCGAGTCCAGCAACGAGGTCATGCAACCGACTACGGCATTTGTGCCGCCAGATACGGCATTCTGGCTTTGGCCACCTTTCGACGAACTGAAGCTGCAACTGTCCTCGTTCGTTGTGGCCATGCATTCGGAGTTCTGCGACTGCTGTGCCTCCAGCTTCGGTGGTTTCAGCTCCGTTAGCTCGTCTGCGTCCGCATAGCTTATGGGTTCTAGTGTAATTGGCGACTTCTCGTCCTCCAGTCGGATCGTCGCAACAGCCGTCGATGCGGCCATGGTGTTGGCGTTGCTATTGTCCAAACCGCTGCCACTGCCCTTGATAATGTCGTTGGCTATGCCCTTGGCGTTGGCTAGATTGAGCCCGTAGTCCTTGTGCATGTACTTCTTGCACGTGCCGCTTTTAACGGCCTCGACTAGCTTGGGCACTGCCTCGCCGTACTCTCCGGAAGCGACCTCGAGCACATAGTCAGCGGGATTGTGGTACGAGGGGCATTCATAGCCGAGGGATGAAAGGTACGGCACCAGGCCATGCACGCGACCTTCGTACACGCACTGACCCTGGGCCAGGAGGTAGAGATGATCGAATTTCTCAAAGAGACGCGCCGACGGCTGGTGGATGGTGCAGACAATGGTGCGACCTCCACGCGCGAGCGATTTCAGCAGTGAAATCAACTGAAAGCAGGTGGAGCTGTCCAGGCCGGAGGTTGGCTCATCGAAGAACATGACCGGCGGATTGTTGACCAGCTCCAGGGCTATGGACAAACGTTTCCGCTGGCCGCCCGACAAATTACAGGTAAACGTGTCGGCCGATTCCTTTAGACCAATGGTATCGAGTATCTCCTCGACAACGACGCACTTGGCGTACTTGATCATGTTCTTGCCAAGCTTTAGATTGGCGGCCACCATCATGGCCTCGCGCACGGTTAGGTTGGCAATCAGGACATCGTCTTGCATAATGTAACAGGAGAGCTTACGGAACCGGCGAAGATTTCTCTCCTTGCTGTTGATCAGCACCGAGCCGCTCAGCTGAGAAGTTCTGCAAACAAAAAGAGGATTAACACGCAAGTTAAAGTTGAGCTGAATCATTAAACATACTTATATCCAGCCAGGATGTTCATCAGTGTGCTTTTCCCTGCTCCGGAGGGTCCCATTATAGCCGTTATCTGTCCATTGCGAAATTTGCCAGAAACGCTCTTCAGTATGGTCTTAAAACCACGTATATGTCCCTCGGCCACCGAGTAGGAGATATCACAGAACTCGATGTCCACGGGCGGACGCTGCGGCAGATGCGACAGCGAGATGGTGCCCTTCTTCTGTCCGTTCGGGCTGTTGCTGTTGTTTTGTATTTTGGGCGCCAGCCCGTAGTTGTTGTGGCTGTTCGTGTTGATCCGGCCATTGCATAAGTTGTTCTGGGAGCTGCAAAGAAGTCGTGGGACTGTTATATAACTTGCTAAGCGGCAGGCAATTAACTAGGAGAGCTGCCTACTTGACCACGACTGGCTTCTGCCAGCATGGAGCACCGTCTTCGGGCCGCTGCAGCGCGCTGACACACCCGTTCTTCGTCAGCTTTGTCTGGACAAAGGACAGCGAACGTCTGCACTTGGCCACATCCGCATAGGCCTCCACGTAGGCGGATCGCCTGCATGTTGCCTCGAAGCTGGTGTTCTGAATGCCATCCAGCTGGACAGGATGTGGCTGCTGCGCCGCATTGCTGTCCGGGCTGCTGCTGCTGCAGTTGATTAATGTCAGCTCCAAACTGTTTGGCATGCTTGCTTATTTTGATTTGTACGCTTCTATTGGCTCATTTCTTATTTTACTCAACACTATCAGCTGGCATCTGGCGGGGCATCATGAATTACGCTTTTCGATTTATCAACAGCCAGTCGACAGGCCAAATAGCCAATAGTCAATAGTCAATAGTCAATAGTCAATAGTCAATAGTCAGTCGACCGTAATCATGATTCAATCGTACAGATTCGTGCCTGCGCTCCGAGAGCCCGTACCCAACCCCCCCGTTCCCCTGCCGAGCAATCGTTCGTAAATCTTGTAAAGAGCAAAGTTCGATTTGCGTTTCATTCATAAATGCCGTGTGATGCCCTCGTTCATTGGTCTGCTATTGATAAAAATATGCCGACTGACTGCACGACATTCTTGCCAAAGCTGCCAATATCAATTAAAAACACAGTTTTCGGTGCAAACTACTTATTGCAACCAGTTGAGCGCAGCTAATTGATGATGGTTGATGAACTGATGTACAATTGATGTAAACTGTCGGTCTTGAAATCTAGCTGCTGCTGCTAGAACAAATATACAATGTACAACGATATATGTACGATGTACAACTCTGCAACCAGTTGAGCGCAGCTAATTGATGATGGATGATAAAGTGATGTGCAAGTGATGTGCAATTGATGTACAATTGATGTAAACTGTGGGTCTAGAAAGCTAGCTGATGCTAGAACAAATAAACAATTAATACTGCAACTAGTTGAGCGAAGCTAATTGATGATGGATGATGTAGTGATGTACAATTGATGTAAGCTGTGGCCAAAGAAATCTACCTGTCGCTAGAACAAATAAACAATTAACCCTGGAGATATCTAAATGCATTTGTTCATTGTTCATTCAAAGTTCATTTCTAAAATACACATATGTACATTTGTCGACTGTTGTGTATTTTTGTGGCCGTCTTTGTTTATCTTTGCCGATTCACACAGAGCACGTACACTCAAACAAGGCACGTTGGCCTGGTGAGAAACTATGCACTCAAAAATAAGGGAACAACTTTTAAACTCTTATAGAATCATTAGAGCATACAGCTGATGCCTGAAGTTAATCAATTAAAATTCCGATATCTGTCTTTTGAGGCAACACACATTTTTGACTACAGTTTCGGTATATGTATATGTATGTACATATCAGATCCGTCCACCGACAAACAATAGTGAGTCGGTCGCCAGCGACAGGGCCAATCAGCTGTTGGCCCAAATGGTCAACAGCTGCGATTGAGGCGCACATTTGTTATCCAAAGCGACGACAACGACAGCAACAACAACAACAACAAACAAATATCGCGACAACGTCATCAACTTGCTTTTGTGTTGGTAGAACTCGGTTTGTTTATAGTTTGCGGCTACGCTGCTTTTAGATACGATAAATACGAGTTTGTGCCGCTGCCCGCCCCACTTGCCCGCTTCCCCACACTTCCGACAGCAGCCACATTGCCTTCTCGCAATCGCCAATCGTTTCGCGCGAATTTCTCGGTGCGCGTGCACCCAGCGACTGGCCTGGGCTGGGTACATTTTAGGTGCGCATGTACTCGCTTGCACCGAGAGACGCGAGACGAGAGACGATGCTTTGGCTTCGTGCAGCGCAGCGCATGTCGATGTTAACGAACCCGACCAACAACACTTTCTGGCTTACATTTACACGTACAACCAGATAAATTCCAAGAAAGTGGATATATTGTTTTTATACCCTTGCAGAAGTATTATAATTTTGTCTCGAAATGTGTAACGCATTGAAGGACCCCAATAAGCATATACATATATTCTTTTCAAAATCCTATCAACATCGAGACACTATATTATATAGCTTTCATAGGAACGATCGGTTGAAAATTAAGTTACTGTATTGAAAACTTTTTTGATTATTAAGATATTTTGACCAAACTCGGCATTTATTAGTTTTACTATGCTTCTTACATTTATGCAAAATATGATTTGCATTGGACCACTATATCATATACATAGCTGCCATATGAACGATCGGTCGCAAATTAAGTTGTTGTTTGAAACACTTTTTTGTTTATATAGATATCGTGACCAAACTCGGTATTTAAAGGTTTAACTATGCTTCCTACATATATTCCTTATCTTATGTACACTGGAACCTTATATCAAATAACTGCCATAAAACCGATCGGACGAAAATGAACTTATTGTATGAAAAACTTTTTGTTTTTCAAGATATCTTATCCCTACTCGACATTAACTATTTTCCCTTCTTAGATACGAGCAAAGCATTACGAGCATTATGAAAAGCTTCGGTCTGTAAGGGTATTAAATATCCGGCACGCAGATGATAGTTCTTGTTTCTCTATTTGTTTTCTTCGCGTGTGATTTGAACATTTTTTAACAAAAAATCGAAGCATTGCTCAACACTTTAAAAAAAAGAAACTGTTTATCAATAATAATGTCTTGTAATTACTGGCAATTTAACTGAAATTATATTGATTGATTAGCAGGCCATAACTCAGCAGCTACTGTTCCTCATAGAAACTAGTTACAATTGAGCTTTGCCCAGGCTATAAATGCGCCGGGTTAGATTTGTTACTCTGTTGTTTTGCACCGATAAAAGTTAACCGGAAATATCAGATGGCACGACGCATTAGATCATCCACGTTTTGAGGCAATTAAGCGTTTAGGCATTTAATAGCAGCCATAGCTGAGTAACTGAGCTGTTTCCTTATTTAAATATAAGCTCGTTCGTTGTACTTTGTGGGTTCATATATCAAGGCATAACTGGGGACTGTTTGTACGCGGGTCGGCTCTTAACTCAGTTGAAACTTTGCAAGTACCCAAAACAAAAGTGACCGATAAGTGCGTTGAGTTCAGTGAATGATAACATTTTTCCGATAGACCTATGTATATCAATAAAGCTTAGAGATGTCGCTCGGCCAGGTGAATATCCTGCAAGCTATATTTAATGTTAACAAGTTCTAGGAGAATCAAATAAACTCTTGACGGTCAGTCTTTAAGGAGCAGATGTTTCAGAAATGGATTGGCTCGTTCTCGATGACCTCGATGTGTGGGAAAGGTCAATATGTCTGAAGTGTACGCCCATGCCAACTTCTCTGCCCGTCTTATCGCTGGGTAAGGAACGCCTCGGAGGGTTTACAAACTGACAAGTGCGGAGCCCAGCTGTCTGTCAGTATTTTTTTGTTTATTACTTTATGTCCCACGTAATATATTCCGTTTGAACTCAGTTGCATAATCCTCGCACACGTCGCGCAATTTTCACCTCCCGTATGTTGCCCGATTTCTAGAGCCGACGAGCCACGACATCGTTTTGCTGGCACATTTTATTGTGGGAACATTTTGAAATATGTATATATGCACACAAATAATTAAAGCCCAAATTGCAACGCTCAATAAATAAACACTGAAAAAGCCGCCGTAAGGCGACGACTGCAGCGACCCGAAACGAACTGAACTGAACTCAACTCAACTCGGTTGAGCTGACTACGGCAAAGTTTGGACAACTTGGCGGCTTGTTCGATTTTTCCAAGCACGCGGCGCCGTCGTCGGCTGCGACTTGGCCATAGTAGCGATAATGCTTGGCCAACTATTTATATACCCTTTCCTCCGCAAGAGAGTATGCTTATTGTTCGACAGTGCTTGTCGTGGCAGTTGAATCAAAAAATTGATGTTGTCATTTTGAGGTAGAGTATTCTTGCGTCGTTATGGCGTGTGAGGTCCTGTGCTTTTTCTTCCGCTTCGCTTTGCTATTGCTCCTGACAATGGCTGGCCCTCTTGGCTGTTCACCGTTACGTATACATACATATACGTTGCCCACACTCCATGAATGTGTCTCATGTATGTGTGTATCTGTGTGTGTGTGTGTGTGTGTGTGTGCCCTTTTGTCTGTAGCACTGCCAACAATATGAACGAGCAGATACAAGTACTTGGGGGGGAAAAGGATGTGTCGAGAATTTTAAACGTTTTTTATGAATTCCAACTTTTGTCTGGCCGGCTTCTGCTTGAAAATACGGAAAAGTGCAGCTATGCAGCTACCCGCAGGACCTGCCAGAAAGGGCTTTTTTAATTACATTCATTGTGGGCGATTGGTGGGCGTTATTTGCACGTGGGCGTGTGCATGTTCTATTTTAAATTTTAATCATGGGTAGCCCGGACTGTTGTTCAAGGCCAAAACAGCTGGCTACTGAACAAAAGTTATTTAACACCTCTTATTCTTTTTTTTCACCTATTGCTATCAGCTACTTAAAACCCATTTAAGTGACAGTTGCGCTCGTTGGGCGACATCGGCATAAGAAACACATATGTTACAGGTGCGAAAAGTGACAAGACAACCATTTGTTGACCAATTACTGGACTCAACAATCCAGCTCATTTATCTATATACATGACTGACTGGCCCATCAAATGCGAAGATGGGGCTTTGGGAAATTACGCCCGTAGGTGACCTTTTAAGTCCAAATTCATTTCCAAACAACTGTATGAAAAATTATTTGTTCCCAGAATCCATGCTTCCTCTGTGGAAAATGCGATTCGAGGATTTTGTACACGAATAACTAATAACTAATCTAGTAACATACTAATACGATGCTAACATACAGATTCGTGCTTCAGCAATTCTGAAAATTCCACCCGCAACTGTGGAAAATTGTAGGGATGCCTCACACTTTTCAGAAAATCTGCCCATAATGAATGATAAATGCGGTGAAAGGTTATAAGGGCGCAGTTTAAAGATTCGTTCATCGGCCTTAAATTTGTTTTCAAAGCACACCTTAAGAACATATTAAATTATACGTGTGTAAGAAGCAGGCCTTACTCCAGTTATTAAAAAGCTAAAGCAAAACAAAATCAATTCATATTCTATTTCTAAAATTGGTTAGTCAAAAAAAAGAGGCTCTTGAAAGACTCCCCAACTTTTGGATGTATATGTATAAATTTGGTAGATGCCATTTTATGCAAGAGTTCAAATTTAGTCCGCTTCTATATGAAAGTATCCACGACTAGCAATAGTTTTAGTGGAAGGGAAGTTATAAATAATAGTTAAATTCGTTCTGAACGTTATGGTTGTTTATCCGTTTCTTTAAAGAATATGCTTTTATTTTATAGTTCGTTTAAGGTGAATGTTATTCAGCTGCGAATAAGTTAAATGAGCTGTCAGTAGACGGTACTTGAACATTTTGCAGGTCGGCACGCGATTTGTGCTGCTCCTTAGAAATGAGCTCGAGCCAAGAATGACTGGAAACAACTCGCACATTTATGTATGTGTACATACTATATTTTGTACTATATTACATATTGTCTATCGATTTTTCACAGCTGCTAACAATTTACGTGGAAGGTGCGTCGCATCGTAGAAGGAAGAAGATATCGGTTCCGTCGAATGTTCTAATATTAATGCGTCTGCTGGCAGCAAGACCTGGATACAAACTTAGCTCGACAGCCTTTTGATTCATTGAGCAACTGGACAAAGCCAACGCTCAAGTGACCTAACGTGATTTGGCCGAGTGGCCTCATAGTTTGCGGAAGACTATGACTTAATGAGCAGCCCGCTCCCTCGAAAGGCCCAAACACGCCCTGATTATGCCAGCCTATTTGGGTCATTCAAAACGAAGCTCCTTTTCACGAAGGTATCCCGTACCCCCCACCACAATTATAATCTACGCTAATCTCATTAGTTTTCAGCCCTGCTCAGAATTTAGGTGATGAAATATCTGCCCCATGCTACTCACCCATAGACGGCATTGCATTGCTTCAAGTCGTTGGTCTTCTGCAGGGGCAGCGCCTGCAGCTGATTCAATGGGGGGGCCACAGGCTCAGCGCCTGATCCTTGCTGGCAGATTGGGGGCGCAGCAACTGCTCCTCCTTCCGCCGTTGTTGTTGTTGTTGTGCTGCTTTTGTAGTGCACGGCATTGAGAGGTGTCGTCGACGTTGACGTCGATGTTAACATTGTCTGGGCGGGCAGTATGACGGCGCAGCTGCCGTTTTCTTTGTCCACGAGTGGAACATTTGAGGCATGCAACTCATCCATTTCCTAGACGTTAATGAGTATCTGACTAAATTGTAAATTTCATAAAGTTGCGATTGGCATCAGGTTGTGTCAGTCACCATTTAGCTACTTATTATTATTATTATTAATTTTTTATCAAATTAATAATGTGTTTTTTTCCTATTTTTACAGGATATATTCTGCGTTTATTGCTCGTAGATTTAACGTTGAATTATTCATTGTTGAGTCTCACAATTTATTTGGCATATCTGTTGTTTTATAGTTGGAAGTTTATAAATAATTCAGTTTTCTCGATTCCTTCTGCTGAGAAGATGCCAAGCAGCTGTTAAAGATACAAGCAAAATAGATGGAGAGTATGTTAATGAGAACATCTGCTTCTGCTGGATATATCTTATTAATTCCTAGACTTTTTGTATAAATAAATCAGAAGATCAACTAAATAAGGCACATTTTAAAATACAATTTCTCTTTGGTGTCGTTTTGATCTTTGTCCGAAACTTCAATAGGCTTTAAATGCAATTTTCCGGCGCTTTTCGTGGCGCGTGTCAATGAACAGGAGCTTCTGGGTTTAGCTGCACCCGTCGGATGCTTTGGCAGGTGGCCGGGCGATAAGATTGCAACAGTGTGGAACCGTTTCGCTATTCAGCGAAAGGTATAGATTATAAAATATAGTGTACAAAGTGCCTACACATACAAGTTTATTACAGATTTGTTTGACTGTGCGATTAGGGATGATTGTGATAAGCGGGGCTATTGAATGCCTTCTTTTCCTGCTAATCGCAGATATGTAATAGTCTATAAACCGGCGACTGCCCAAGTGTTTTATATAGTTATGTTATATAGCCTTTGCCTGGTTGTCGGTCGTCTGATTTATCAGCCAACGGCAACAGATATATTTCTGGCTAATCATCATGCCAAGTGGACTTTTCTGCCTGTTAAATCCGAATTCTACACAGGAGCCGTAAGTAGGACAATTTGAACGTGGGCGTATGGCCCTACCTTAAGCTCTTTCAAAGTGGGTTAGTGGCACGAACAGAGGTGCGGGGCGAGCTCTGACAACTTTATTAACTGCAGGCAAGTTGATAAAGCCAGACAGACGACTTTCAATCATAACGGCACGAAAATTTGCACGCAGATTCACATTTGGAATAATTTTCATAAACAAATTGCGACCGTAAACAATTAAATAAAAATAAAAATGCTTTGCCAATTCCGCTCAGCAGCATAGAGCTGAGAGCGACACCGCGAGAGCCACAACAGGGAAAAGAGCCAAACAGAACGCACGCGCGCTCAATAGATACAAAAGCAGGAAAGATACATTTAAAGATACATATGCATTTTTTCTTTTATTTCAAGCTGTTTCTATGGCAGCGGAATTGAAATATTTGTGGCTGAAGCAAACAAAACTGTTAATCTTTACACAATATTCCGGATTGGGGTTTAGGGGTGGGTAGCTTAAAATAAACAACTGTTTTTGGTTGGTTTACTGCAATTTGTAGTTGCGTGGCTGGGGGAGGGGAGGGGAGGGTAGGGGTTGGAACCACCACCACCACGCAGCGGAATAACATGCCACTAAACGGCGCAACTATATTATATTTTCATGTATCTTTCTAGTGTACTATGATATAAATTTTAGATTCTGGCTGTAGCTCACCTTAATCACAATAAATGAATTCCAAGAATTGCCAGCGCATAAAACTTGTTTTTTCCGTTTTTCTTTTCTATGTTTTTCGCCACTCTCAACAGATACAGATACAGTTGGGGCTGTGTGCTAGAGATGCTCGTTACCGTTGCTTTATTTTAGGCCCGTTTTATCGTCAAATATTTCACATAAATTCGGCAGTTGTTTCATCAACACAAAGCTTTTGTTGCTATTCCTATTGCTCTCTCACTTTTTGAATACGTAATTGTTTAATATTATTGTGCGAGGAATTAAACTGCGATGCGAACGGCGGACAGCGAACTGTTGTGGGGAAGGAACTACCGGAGCATAGCACATCAGTTACTCCTATTGGGCCGAGAACCGGTGACTGTTGTTGGTTTCTTGGCAAATTTAAAAGACCACAGCACAGCAGCAGCAGCAGCAGCTGGCCGAACAAGACAATAAACGTGTTTCCTTTGGCGGATCGCGCGACGAGCTTCTCCAAAGAAGGCAGACAACTTGAGTGCAGCACGAACGAACAAGAACTGAAACTGTGAGCGCGGCTAATGCTGCTGGCAGCCTGCTGCTAAGCTACGCGACGTCTCTCTTTTTCTATCTCTCCCTTCCGCTCGCCCCGCTCTCACACAATCTCTCGTCAAGTGTGTGCCTGTGTGCCCGTGTGCTCGCGTGTGTGGGGGAGCAAGTACAACGAAAAGACGACACGTTTATTTCGGCAACGGCGTGTAGCCCGAGAGGGAGAGCGAGCGAGAGAGAGCGGGCAGAAGCTGCTCTTGCCCCATTGTGCCTCAGCTGCTGCCGCGTAGTCTTATTTGCTTTGTTTGTTGGGTGTCTCCCAATGCTGCCACACTATTACGGCCTCTGTCCCTATATGTTAGTGCGTGTATGTGGCATGCTGCAGTCTGCGCATGCGTCATTCCGTGTGTGTGTGTGCTGCTGCTGCGTTGCTTCTGTTGAGTGTGTTTCAGCTGACTGTAAACAGCTGATCGTAAACACAAAGTAAACGCAGGCCATACCTAGCCCAGCATAGCCCCAGCCCCAGCCCCCGCCCAGTTCAATGCAGTCGCACTGCACTTGATTTGAGTACAGCTGCACTCAAACTGGTTTCTTCTTTGTCTGCGCTGATGGTCGTTGTCTTTGCGGTCTGTGCCAGCCGCATTTGCAATTGCTTCTTTAAATGAATGACTAACAATTTGTGGATAAGTGTACTTCAAAAACACGACATTACAATTAACTGTTATGTTCTATAGCACTTTGATTGCTGGCATTTCATATTGAACTTTGAACTGAGAGCTTTCTGGTTGATTCGGATTGCAAACAAAGCAAACGTCGAACAACATTATTTTAAACCAAAACAAAAACAATTGCGATTTGCGGCCAATGAGCAATACGAATGAATACACTCACACTCACACTCACACGATCACATGCACATTTCATTCAAACTCTCAACCCTAACGGCCAAAGTGCGGAATTAACTAAGTTCAACTTACACAATGTGTACAGACATGTGTATGTATGTGTGCGTGTGTGTGTGTAAATGTACATGTATAAATACTTCACAAATTGGCATCCAGGGAGAGAGGGCACACGATACTTTTAACATTGACCCCATTTTAAAGGCACATTAATGTACATATGTAAACACATAACATGTATGTACATATGTACATTAAATCCATTAAAAAGTAGACGCAGTTTAGCTCGGGCTCTTATCAGCTGCGAATTGTTTTAGCTGTTGCGTACCATTTGCCTCTGCAACGGAGAGGGCTCCAGTCTCGAATGGATGCCGTTAGTCATGATCGTGATTGGAACCGAATGAAATTGGATATCGTGATATCAACTCCCCCCTTTGTTGCGCGACAATGTGGGTCAGGGGTGCCCTTTTCTCACGAAGAATAACTGCATCAAAGAAATGCGAGTGCACAACATTTGGCGGTCTGGGTTAAATCAATTGAACCTGTCGGCGTGTCGCTGTGGATGAAGCCAAATAGTTTTGAGTGCATTGCATTTGGTCGATGCAGCAATTAAGCCGAGTTGGTTGCCTTGCCGCTTTCCGGTGCAATCAGGTGTTTTTTCTTGCGCCGTTATGTCGTGATCTGAAAACGACTATCTTTATGGCAGCAATTAATAGAAAATTGTTTATGGATAACACGTTCATTGCTTTAACTGCTCGTTTTCTTCATCTTTTTCAAACACAGATTATTTCGCACGTTTTCAAAACTATCAAATTTTGTAAATGAGTTGTAAAAGTAACCGAAGTCAGGTGTCAACTTGCGCAGGCTACTCATTGAGTAATAATAGATATACTTATTACTCATTGAGTAATAAAAGATATTATTACTCAATGCAGACTACTGTAGGCTATACAAGCTAATAATTTGCATCTTATAAATTTCAGCTTAATGTAATTATTATTTATATTATATATTATTATATATTAAATATTGTATATTATATATTATATAATATAATATATATATTAGAAGAAACGATAATTACTCACTGCGATAACTCGTATTGGGCTCCATTAACAATGCTTAATTGCAACATATACCTAAAAAGTAAGGAACGGAAGTTACATTTTGTCGAAACAAATATAAGTAGGAAAACTATAAACACATTAAAAATGCCATTTAAATTAAACGGTCAAAGCTTTTATTAAAAGCTTTGTTATTGCTTGGCTTTCGCACTGTCTGTTTATCTCTTTCCCACTTACTGAAATTTGAACAAATTGCTTGCTCTTAAGCGTAATGTGTGGGAAAGAGAAAACACAACTGTTGCTGGAGCTCAACATTTGAAAAGTGCTGCCCATAAGGCGGGCAATTCAAAAGCAAATTAAAATATCTGTCGAGTTTAATATTTGATTCTCATTAGTTGACCTTTACATAAGGAAATTAGTAAAATGGTTTTTTGTACAATTAGAAGCTAGAAATAAATTATAAATCAGTATTAGACGGTACTGAGTATTGATTTTCGGCAAAAATGTAAATCTAAAATTATTGTATTATTATTTTCATCCTGGCACAAACACAACACACACTCTCGAACTTTGCTCCTTTGACCTTTCGCTGATCTCCTCGAACCGCCACGTGATCTGCATTTCTCAGGAGGCTGCGCGAATCTTATTGCTATCCCGCTCCTGGTCGCTATCACAATCCCCGCTCTCCGCTGTGTCCTCGTCCCCGCTGGCGCCCTCGTTGCCCCGGCTAAACAAATGCCGGAGGCAACTACGTTTCACGTATAAAAAAGCGCACAGTGCACAGAGTAAAAATATAATGCCCACAGAGCTGCCAATGATTAGGGCCCGCACCTTGCGCTGGGAAGGCACCTCGAGCACGAGCTCCGGGCTGGCCACCTGGCGGGCGTCTGCTCCGACGGCCACGACCTGAATCTTGAAGGTGACGTCTTCCTTGAGGTGGCGCAGCTGATAGAAGTTGTCAAAGGTTTCGGCGGTGCCGATGAGAAAGTGATCCGGCTCCTTCCACCAGCGGACCGTGTACAGGCGCAGCGTCTCCAGGCCTTGGGTGGGATGCTCCCAGTGCAGCAGCCAGCCCTGCGGCGTGTTGATCACGCTCAGATTCCACGGAGCACCCAGGCCGCCGCCGCCGACAGACGGCTGACTCTGCTGGTGCTGCAGATGCTCTGCATCGAAGTCCTCGCCGCGCAAGGCCGATGCTGGAGAGGATGGGGATTAGGATTAGTTGGCTTCAAGGCTTTACTCAGCTTGCGCTCACCTTGCGTCTGGAAGCGGAACTGTTTGCTGAACATGCCGTCGCCATACTTATCCTGGCTGAGCACCATGAACTCGTACTCCCGTCCAGGCAGCAAATGCTGCACGGTGGCTTCCATCACGGTCTTGTCCAGCACGCGCAGCGTCCTCCATTCCGGCGCATCGCTCAGACGATACCAGACGGTGTACTCCAGATTGGGTCGCAGGTAGCCTGCTGGCAGGGGATTAGTCAAAGATTAGTCAATCCTCCAGCCAGATCCGACTCACCTGGCTGCCAGCGTATCGTTATGCATGTCTCCGTGCTGTTCGCGGTCAGATTGAATGGTGGTCGTGGCGCAATATTCTCAATCATTAATTCCGCCTCGGCTGTGATTGTTGCGGCTTCATTTGTCGCCGAGCACTCGTACATGCCGCGGTCCGTTTCGACCAGGTTCGTGATGGTCAAGTTGCCGCCGCTGAAGCTGTGCCGCTCCACTGGCAGGGCCTGGCCATCTTTCTGTGTGTAAATCAGTTAAATCAGAATCATAATCAGAGTCGTGGGTGGAGGGGGGTGGAGGGGAGGGGGCCCACACCCATGCGTGGAGCATGTGCAGCTTTCCACGACATCCCATGCATATTTCAAAATGCAATCAAGCATAACTGGGAGAGCAGAGGGGCAGCGAGAGAGGAGGCGTGGCAATTGGAACTCACCCGGCTCCAGACAATGGTTGGGCGATTGTTTCCGTCCCGGTCGATGGCTTCGCATGGCAGCTCGGCCGTCTCGCCCAGTTTCTGTATGTAAATTGCCTTTGGGCTAACGCTGAAAATGGGTGGACGGAGCACAATTACGCTAATGATGGGCGAGGGTCCGTCCGTGCCGAGGTCGTTGTACGGCGTGCAGGTGTAGCTGCCGGCATAGTTCTCGTTCACCTTGGAGAAGAACAGGCTGCCGTTCATCTTGTAGAAGACGCCGGGCACATTGTACGAGTCGAACAGCAGGCCGTCCTTCTCCCAGCGCAAATTCTTCAGCGGCGGATTCGCCCGGAAATGGCAGTCGAGCACGGCGGGCTGACCGAACGGCAGATAAACCTCGGGCGGTGCATAAATCACCTTGGCCTTATCTGTCCAAAGTAAGTTGGAACTTAATTAATAATTGGGTTAACAATTTATGCCGGCTACGCACATTGAATGTTGAGAAAGGCCTTGGCCGTTTGCAGCTCGCCCTCGTTGTTGCGCACCTTGCACTCGTATTCGCCCAGGTCGCTCATCATGGTCGGATCGATGCTCAGGCTGCCGTCGGGGCCGGTGAAGGAGCGTCGCACCAGATCCTGCACCTCCTGCAGCAGCACTCCGTCCTTGTACCACGACGCCTGCGAGCTGTCCGGATACTTCATGACGCAGTGAAAGAACGCCGTCTGGCCCTCCATTATCGTCTGATTGACGGGCGGGATTTTGATCAGGGATCCCCCCTGCACAGTCAGATGGTATCGCGTGCCGTTATTCCGCACGCTCGGTGCGCGATTCGGGAATATGATCTGACAGTGATACCAGCCCTGGTCCGATTCACGTATCGAAGTCAGATTGACCGACGCCTTGCCCAGGTCGTGCGGATGGCTCACCAGGTGCAGTCGCCCAATGAACAGCTCATTTGTCGATGTCTCGTTCTCGTACCAGGTGAAGATCTTTTTGTTCTATTACGGCACAGACAGACACAGATACAGATACAGGATGGAGGATACTTGAGGCAACTCAAATGTGATTTAAATTAATGTTAAAATTGCAATCTATATTCACGTAGTAAATCCTACGAGCACCAAGTTCACTCTCACATCTCCCCAGCAGCCCAGACCATGTAACAGTTACTGATCCATCATCATCATTCTAATTTTATGGGTTGACCTCAAGGGGCGCCCCTCTCTGACTGTGGAGCCAGACATGGCCAGGGAAGAGCTTAGCCCAAATGGAGAAAATGTTGGCTTGTAATGTTCCCTAATTTCTAATAGTTAAATTGCCATTTAAGATTACTCCTATCACTTGGACACAACAAAGGGTAAGTATTATATTATTTAAATAAATTAATTTTAAATCCTAAACAGCCACTACATAAAATACTATTGGAACTTGCAAGTACAACAAAAGCTAACCGAGTAGAGAAATATTTAAAGAGAAAATGTTGACTTGAATGTGCCCTGATTTCTAATGCCATTAAGGAAAACTCCTATTACTTGGACATAACAAAAGGTAAAAAAGAAAAATAAAAAATATTAAAATAAATTCATCTTAAATCCATGAAACCCTACACAAAATACTATTGGAACTTGGAAGTACAACAAAAGCTAACCAAGTATCAAATTATGTAAATTAATTCATTTTAAATCCATTGTATAAAACTTTACATAAAATCCTACTCGAACTTAGAACTACTTAATTGGTTTTGAACAAATTGATTTCTAAAAATGCAACTTCAATAAATAATTTGTGTTTTAATTAAAGTTGAATGGATTTGTCAATATTTGTATATATCTAAAATTATTTTAATATACTTATTTTGTGACAATGCGCTAACGAAATGAATTGGTTGAGCGTAAAGCAACATTTGTTTGCACAGGCGTTGCGCAAACACACGCAAAAACCAAAGCAAAATTACAATTTTTTCGCAAATGCTGGAAAACTGTATTGATACTGTATTGGCGTATTGACAGGCAGTTAGCCAGTTAGTTGATAGGCCCCACTAATAAACCACATGCTGGGGATTTGGTTGCCCGTCGCTTTTTGGTTATTGATAGCTGACGCTGACGCTGACGACCGCAGAAAGTGTCAGCCCGATGCAATTGGATAGCTTTAATTGTGTGCCACAAGTTGCGGCTTGATCTATTGACATTACTTGTCGAGAAAAGGTATGCAATTGAAATCGTCGAGGAATCCGGCCCACGTCCCGCCCAGCCGCCCGGATTTGGACTGTGAGAAATATTTAGCGCTGGGCGACGCGTTGCATCATTTTTGTCTACTTAAAGCTACACGGCGGACAGAGCCCGGGAGAGGGATCCAAGTACACCCAACTGTGTGTCAACCGTACGCCGAGTACGATTTATCAACATTATCTAACAAATTACAGAACGTAACTTGATTTATCCGGTAATTTTTTTACCGCTCGCCTACGTGCGCGAAAATTCGCAATGGCCATGAAGAGTAGTTTTTGATTGCGCGCAACACACGAGCATTTGCATAAATATTTTTGTTGTTTTTTTTTGTTTTTTTTTCGCTCAATTTTGAGGCCAAACACGGGGCGGAAGGTTGCCAAAAACTGCATCCCATCAGATCTGATATGTAAATCTTAGAGAGCGAAAAGTGCATTAATTGTGCTACATTTTATATATGAATTAATATATCCATCTGGATATATCCGGTTGGGATTGGGTGTACAGGTTGCCAAAAAAGAAACTAGCATAACCAGATCTTAGATAGCCACGGGTTCATCAATTATATATATATAGAAGTTACATTGAGATAATTTCTGTGTATCTATTTAATTTAATGTACCCATCCGAGATTCTAGCTGGCCACAACGCATTTGCATCCCATCAGATCTTATTTGTAGATCTTAGACATCCCAAAAGTCCCTTAATTATGCTAATATCTTTTACATTGAGATAATTTCTTTCCCTCTAAAAATAGCTTGCCCTGAATTCGTAGTTCAACTGATATTTTTGGTAAACTTGAGCGCAATTAAAGTGAATCTATCAAAATGACATCATGACCCGTTGACCGAGTGGAATTTTATGCATTAATACAATACAATAAAAGAGAGAAAAAACAAAGCCAGACTCAACTGTGCGTGTGTGTGTGTGTGAAAAGTGCCAGCAAATTAAGCAAGCAACCAAATAGTTAAAAACATTTACGCGACGGCAGTCAGACAGACAGACAGACAGACAGACGGACAGACAGACGGACAGATGATGGCAGACGGTCGACCCCATCCCAGCTGAATCCCAAAGCGCTCATGAATGTGTTTTTTGGGGGGATAGTGCTGGGTGGGGGGGAGGGGGAGGAGGGGGTGCGTGTGCGATGAATAGTAATTTACTTGATTTAAATACAAACGTGCGCCGTATGGGACAGTAGGCGTTGGGCGTGGCGTTGGGCGGTGGGCGTGGCGTGGCGTGGCGTTGCGTTGCGTTGCTGCAAATAATTCGCAATTGAATTTAATTGCATTACTCAGAGTTGTCAACAAATGCCAAGCATTCAATTCGATTGAATGCAATTGAAATTTATTTCAACACTTTTCCGATGCCATTTTCTGTTTGCCCCTCTTTTGATGTCACACTTCACACATTCACACTTTTGAGGAATGGCAATGGAAGGCGATTTAACACAGAAATCAGCGCAGCGCGTTAAATCAAATTTAACAGGACGTCCTGGCGTCCTCGACTGACATGGCTGCCCCTTCTGCGATCCCAGCCATAAAGTTCCTTTTAATGAATGTGGGAGCCCATCTGTTTTTTCGCTGTGGCAATGCAGCTTCCGCGTGGCTCCCCTGTGCTCCACTGTGCCCCTCTCCGGCCAGCTGCTGCAATTAAGGCTAACCAAGCGAATTACATCCCACGCGGCTCGGCCACCCACAAGTACTTTGTGTACATGATAAATTTATAATTTCGACAATTTCATTTTGAAGTGCGTGCGGACTGGCGTGTGTCGCAAAAATTGTGATGCTAAGAGATATGTGTGTCTAGGCAATTGAGGCTGGCCAACGCGTCGCATGCGCAATATTCACCTGTGCTCAATACTTCTGACTTATATGGGGGAATCGCATGGGATTAATAATTAATAGCTTCGACAATTTTAAAGTGCGTGTGGACTGGCGTGTGTCAGAAAAATTGGGATGTTATGAGTTTATGTGCATGTAGGCAATTGAGGCTGGCCAACGCGTCGTATGCGCAATATTCACTTGCGTTGCATCTTCGACTTGACTTACATCTTTGCTCCAGTGGACGACGTAGGGTATGGGGGAATCGTATGGGAAATCTATATAGCAATTGAAAACGACATGCGAGCCAACTTTGGCCTCCAGATTTGTTTGCTTGCGATGATCGCGCGCGCATGCCACACAGGATATGTTCATTAAGAGCGCCAGCAGCAGCAGCAGCAGCAAGTTTCCCCGGTCCATGAGATTGCCAGCATGCTGCTCCACCTTCTCCTGGCTCGGCAGGAGCAATCCTTGACGTTCCTTGGCCATTTTGCTGGGCATTCAATTTGCACTTGCACTTATTGCACGCACGGAGGACACGCAGGTCCAACTATTGGAGGCATAGGGCACTTTCGCATTTTCTGAGCGTAGCCAAAATCAGGTCAATTGAGTCTCGTTGCTTTTCTTTACTTGGACAAAAAGTATAATACGTTATGCTCGTAATGCGATCCGCGCGCGCTGTACAATTTATAAGTCGGAATCGGGCAACGGGGGTGAACTGCACACAGCGACTGGAGAAGCTCGACTGAAACTGGAAAAAATAAACAACATGCGATCAAAAGGCAGAACATTCTGCTCGACGATGATTCTGTCAACGAGCACGAGTATTTAGTGCACACACGAGTATGTATATAAATACACTTGATGCTCAATAGAGCGAGCATTCGCGCACTCCACTTTCACATGTCAGACGAGACGAGAGGCTTTGACATTTGACATTCGACATTTGACATGACGCCCACGACGTACGCCTCTTCTAATTACAATTTGCTCACAATTCACTTTCATCGGCGTTTATTCACTTAATTAATTGGGTCTGCACTCCAAAGAGCGCAATAACAATTGCATTTTCCATGAATTTCGACGCCTTCGCTGGCTTAAATGTGGCTGAGTTGGTATTTCTTTCAGTGTATGACAAGCTGTGCTGCGCAAATTGACGGAGCGTATCCAAGCTTCCGGGTTGGCCGTGTTGCCGGGGGGCTCAATGAAAATGGAATGAAATTCGGCATTGTTTTATTTGATCAATTTCAAATTGCTTTTTTTTTTTAAGTTTATTTGTTTAAAAATTTTGTTCATTTTGCTAAATTTGTTTTTTATAATTGTGTCTTGTGTTTAATTACAATATATTTCGTTCTAAACTGATTTTACTTGTACGTGTTTATATGCTGAAATACTTGGGGGGAAACTCTTATTGGAATGAATAATTTGGGAATCGAAGCGAATAATGATACGAGTGAAGGTCCTCAAGAAGGTGCAAATGGAAGTAAGGAAAAAGGTACGAAGGAAAACAGACAGGAAGGAAGGAAGGAAAATGTTCCTGTTCTCATTGATAGTTGTGTGTGTTTTGCATTTTTGTTTTGTTTTGTTATTTGTTCGAGTCGAAAAGTTGAAGTTGACTGTCGCACCTTGTCCAAAAATCAAAGTGGCAGCATAAAGCGTTTGATTTACTTATCGAGTAAATTATTTGTTAATTTATCGGTTTACTTAATGTACATGCCATTTAATTCAGTAGTTGTAGTAATTTGTATTCATATAAATAATTGTATATATATTTATTTATATATATATATATATGCTTTTAAAGTCCTTCACTTAACGTGTATATGTGTTGCACTAATTTTCGCCTCGTTGCATCCTTCAATGCTTTTCCTCTATGCTCAATTAATATGCAATACATTAATTCGCATACTTTAATTGTTAATTTTCGCTTTACTCGATTTTCGTTTATGCTCAATTAATTATTCAATTGCCTTCTAGTTAACATTATGTGTTATATTGTGTGTGTGTGTGTGAGTGTGTGTGTATTATATTTTTATTTATTTTTGTCAGAGTCAGTTTTGTGTTTGCCTACTCAATACAAAAATCAACTTATCTTAATATTCTTGGTTAGCATTTACAATAATCGAACCTCATCAATATGGCATTGTGCAATAACATTGGTAAGTATTTATTTCTTTTGTTTTCGATCAAATAAGAAACCATTTCGACATTTCAACTCAGACCTAAATGGGAATTATACAGAACTATCCAAAACTATCCCAATTCAAATTGCAAAACGAAGAAGGCAAAAAAAATAAGTAAATTATTGAGATCATTTCCGTTAATTTTGAAAATGTATTTTCCTTTGTCCTTTTATTATAATGCTTTTTGTTTTGCTGCTCAACGATTCGGTTAAATTGTATTTATTATGTAGTACATATATTATTTAATATTTTGTTTTTTGTTTTTTTTTTCTTTTTTTGGTGTAATTTACATACGTTATACACACGGCAATCATCATCATCATCTTTATCATCATCTTCATGCTTTTCGCGCTCTGGCAGTGTTTTGGCGTCAAGTTGTGTCAAACCATTCCGTACAATTTTTTTTTTGTTCAGACAAGTTTATTATTAACAAGTATTTACGTAATAAGAACTGAAACTCATCAAACACCTCATAAGTTTTAACTGAATCAATTGGGGTACGCATCAGAGTACGCATCGATAGATGCGGATGCCTCAGAGACTTTGACTAATCTGAATACTTTAGTTCAGTAATACGTACTTGGCATCCAATAATCGCGTGGGCTACAACTGATACGGGATCTGCACATCGGGAAGTCAAAAACTCAAAAATCACCCTCATAGCCACGGCCAAAATGAAGCGCTCCATATTCCGTTTAGTTTCAATTAGTATTAGAAGTTTTAATAAATGTTAAGTAGCGCTAACATACCGTTACACCGACTGACTCAACTATCTTGTGTGTTTGTTGTTGTTTGCTGTTGTGTGGATTAAGTATTTGCCTATACTCGTACCGGGAAAAAGTATTTAGGTTTTCAATAAATATATCTTTCGAGTTAATTATTTGTGTAGCTCAACAGTAAACATATACATATGCAGCAGTTATATTAAATGTAATTATTGTTAAACTGTTATCAATCTTATTATTTTGTTGGTTTTCATTAAATAATTTAATTATAAAACAATTCTTTCTATATGTTGATTTTCCGAGCTTTTATCGCTTTTATTTTAACACTTCGATCGTTTAGTCTAACAACTAAAGACTTAATCACTATCATACTTTGCTTCAATTTACGTAAATATTAATTTAACATAATGTACCGTTATGTTTGTGGATTTTTTAATTTGTAATTGATGTTTAACAGATCAATCTGTGTGTCGCCTATGCTTTAAGTATCTAATACATCATTTTATAAATAATATTCATTTTGCATATTGTGTTCAAATATCAATTACAATTACATAATATATTGAGTTTTAAGTAATAATATGTTCTCATAATTGCTATAGTTTTTCTTTTTTTTAATTTTTAAATATTATTTTTAAACGTTGCTCTCATTTTGCTGCGTGCCTTTTTTATAATTTTTACCACTGAATGCATTTAATATTTACAAAAATTCTTCTCTTGCTTGGTGTCCTATATTTTGTTTAACTTGATTTTGTTTTTTGTTTTGTTTTGCCGTTTGCTCTATCATAGAAAACTACTAATTGTTCTTGGCTTTAAATAATTGTAGTCCGTAATATGACTGTAACATGGATTGGGCAGGCAGATGCACTATCTGAGCTGGGCCTGCACTGCTTTGGATATTATTTAATCATATGGTTTATGCGGTTGACTTCGATTGCATTTTCCGACTGCAGGTGCAGTCATTCCATTCAGGTGCTGGCTTACTTTCTACATATGGTTGTGTATTGGATACATGTTTGCATTGCGGTCGCAAATGTGACAGGGCGTGGCAGGGCTCAGCAGACGCTCTCGATTTCGGGGCCGCTCGTCCGCTGCATGGACTGGCGTTTGCGATAGGCATAGAACTCCTCCCGCATGGCCTGGAGGCGAGCTTCCACATTGTCATAGCGCGGCAGGCTCCGCATCTTGCGGGGCACAGATCCTCCGAATAAGCTGGATCCGGCCGCGGCCGAGGCGTGCAACAAGCTGCCGCTCAACGGGCCCAGAGTGTGATGTGCGTGCTGATGATAGGATGCATGATGATGATGATGATGATGATGAGGATGAGGATGGTGTGGATAGTGGTGCGTATCTATGTGAAGATTGAGATCGTCGCGCAGCAGACCGACTCCTGTAGGTGTTGAGGCGCTCGGCGTGGGCGTGGCAGGGTCGAATTCATAGTGGCCATCGACACTGCCGACGTCCACCTGGCAGTTGGACCTGGGCAGGTTGCTATCCGTCGCTGCGTTTAGTCTTGAGATCATTTCCAGCCAGTGCCCCATTGTGTAAGGCGGCGTCAGACCAGCCGAAGGCGGACTCGGCTGCAAATAGGAATAGTGATATGGCTGCTGCTGCAGTTGACCCGGCACCAGGGTTTGAGCCTGCGCCTGCTGGCTGCCCGACGCTGCGATGTTCAGGCCAAAGTATGCCGAATGTTTTGGCGGCGACGGCGGGGGACGGTAGGGTGGCAATAGCCGCCACTCGCTGGTGCTGCCCGGATGGTTGGACGTGTTCTTGGAGCCAAAGCCACTCGAGCTGGAACGCGACTCCGGGGACGCCTCCAGACCCACGCCAGCTCCATGGGCCGTCCCGCGCAGCGACAGGTTCAGGTCGGGCAGCGGCGACAGCAGCTCGTGCTGCTGGCGGCTAAACAGCCTGGAGTAGTGCCGGGGATACCAGCGAGTGCGGGGTCTGTAGCTCTGATACGGCAGCTGCGTTTGGTAGTAGTTCCGCCAAGAAGGCGGCGAAGGCAACTGCAGCGGCACAAAGTGATCCTCCAGCGGATGCTGCGACTGATGCGGATGCGGATGCTGTTGGCGACGCGTCTCCTCCTGAATCGTACGCAGGGACGGCAGCTCCTGCGAATGATAACGATAGCGGCTCAGATTGCCTGCGCCACTCAAGTGTGATGTGGGCAATGATCGTTCCGCGGAGTTGGGATAAACCGTGCTGAGATCGCTGAAGTGTGTGTGTTGGCCTGGATAGGCGCCGCTATACGACAATTGCTGTTGCTGCTGCTGCTGGTGGCCAGGTGTGCTCGCCGGCGAGCTGGAAAAAATGCGAGAGGCACGCGAAGGTGTGTAGAGCTGTGGCGACATCAGCTGCTGGCCGTGACTCAGACTGCCGCTGATCGTGTTGATGTGCAATGGTCCGCTGTTGGCCGTGTTCCTGTATATGTTGGAGCTGTAGGGACGCAGCACGTTTTGGTATCTGGCGCCGGACACAGCCTCTTCGGATAGCTGCTGTTTGACAGAGCCGCCAATTTTGAGCAGGCCGCCCAATCCCTGGAGGAAACCCCTCGCCGAATCCGCTGCCGACTGCAGGCTGACTTGGCTGGATGATGCCACCAGGGGACGGCGCCACGAGGCACGTGCTGTGATGAAATTGCGACGCGAAAGGAAGCCTCCATCGTCGCTGGAGGATTTTTGGGATACATTGCTATTGCGACGTTCGAACAGAGCTCCGTCCACGACGTCAATGCTGTTCTCTAGGCTCAGGTCGTAGCCGAGCTTGCCGCCGTCCTGTGCGGAGCGCCGTTTTCCGTCGTCTTGAATATTGGGCGAACTGTAGATGGAATGGCAGTTGGTGCAGCGATCGGGTGGCCAAATCCAGTGCAATATGGCGATAAGTATTGCAGTTAGACTTGATATTCGGGTTTGTTTGTACCTGGCAATTGTAGAACATGTTAGGAGTCCACTTCACATCACATCACATTCATTTAAATTAACACAAAACAAATACCAAATAAAGCGTAAGTCTAAGTTGACTACGAACTCAGGCGAATAAAACAGAACGAAATTGAACTGAAGAAAAAGGTGGTTTTAGTATAGAATTGTATTGCTTACGATTTTGATTATGACAGGATGGACCTGGAACTATAAAAACGCTTTCATAATCACGATAATGTTCAGTATTGCTACGATATTGATACGAGCAATAGTAGTAGAAGAAGTAGTAGAATTTAATAGTAGTAGAAGTAGAAGTAGGTGCGTGCCGTTTACCAATCAGTTTGTTGTTGTTTTTGGTTGGGCGCATGAGACAGTTGGGAAATTTAGATCGATTTAATTGTCGGGTCGCATTTGGCATGGAGACATGGAATATATACGAATGGCTTACTCACTTTTTTAAAGGCACTTGACCAGAGGAAATTGAGCCCGTACTGCGATTGTGCAAATGATGATGATTATTGGCCGCAATGTTACGAGCGTCGGTTATCCTGCAAGCTACCATGTTGAACTCTGTAAACGTATAATTTCTAAAATTAATTTGGCGTGCAGCGTGAGCCGTCCTATCCGCTAAATAAAATACATATACAGTAGCTACCAAGCACACACTATGTACGTGACATGTATGTATATGTGAATATACACACACATATACATGCACAGCCACACTACCATTTACACATTGCTGTCCACATATGAATGCATATATGTATATATAGGAAATATGAGTACTCTTCCACAAACTGGCATAACGCGCGCCCCAGCCGAAAGTCGGTTGATTATTCAAGTACATAAAATAAGTAGTTCTTATGCAAGTGCATATAATCATACTAGAATAGATCGGCACTCTAACCACATTTACACCTATACAGGTAAACGGACGTTATGCCAATTTGCATGCCAGCCAGCAGCAACAGTGACAACAACAACAACAACAACAACAACTCCAGCTGCCATTGTCGTTGTCGCCGTATTAACATTGTTAAAAATTTAGCAGTTTAATAGATGATTACTTAGAGTACAGGCAATATAACCACACCCACACACCGTTAGGCTATAATATGCTACGCTATGCTATGCAATTGTTAGTTATATATATTAGTTTAGTAATTTGGGGTAGCAATTACATATGTATAGACAAATAGGCATCCAATTAGCTAGCTAGACAAACTAATTTGGCTGGGATCAGTGCTGGAAGGTAGAAGCGGGAGTAGTCGACCTCATTTAGAGAGAGAATTACATTAGGCTAAGGGCTGCTCCTCATTCCGGACACAGACATATATGCGCCTATACGAGTATACATACATATGCATGAACGCATAGCATGTGCTTTTCGCCGTATTTTATTTAAAGATCGGGCTTCAAGATGTTGGCAAAAAAAAAACGACAATGACACATGAAATGGCTTTTGAATGGTCAGTTGATAATTGAAGAAGTTAACGAACACAAAAGTCTATGGGAAATCGAAAACAAAACCAGCTGATTATGGTTAAATTAAAGTTAAACAAAAACAGATGACCAAAGGAAAACTGACTGTCCGTTGGGGCAAAAGTTTGGACCAGCAACGGCAGCTGAAAAACATGATTCGAGTGTAATGTGTTGAGTTTTAGCTGTGAGATTTTGTTCGATTTTATAATTGAGTATAATACATAATAATTATGAAATGACTTTGCCGCCTTCGTGTGTGCTTGAGATACTTAAGAAAGTGTGGTGTTTGGTAAATAAGTAGAAATATACGTAAGCGCTTGAATATGAATGCACTATATTCACTGAGAACTGAGATAGATACGCATGCGCTCGAGGAGTGACCCGGGCAGAGTATATGAAATGCGGTGTAATACTAGTTGTTTAGTAGGCAGATAAATCTTGTTAATTGTTAATTGTTACTTATTACTTGGTATTGGGCGATAGTTGTCTGAAAATAACCTTAAGTTTTTGTTGTTGTTACACTTGGAATCTGTTGCACACGACATCGATTTATTATGATTTTGAAAAACTTACCCAGTTGCTTTTGCTTTACGTTTTGATTTGCTTGTCGCGTTGCAGGGGGCTTAGTTGGTTAGCATATTGGTTCTCAGTGGGAGAGAGTGCATTTCCCGGGCAATTTGCATGGACAAACGAGATAATGTTAATTGGGCTCAAAATCTAACGATTTGTGCATACAAATGCTGGTCATGCTTATAACAGTGCATGGGCACGTCGTATCTATTGATAACGCGATCATTTTATGCTTTGAACAAGCCTTGACTTTTATATAAGAGCTGTGGTTTAGCTCTTTGGTCATCGATTGTGGGCCTTATTTTACCATCTTTGTGCGTGAATTGTTTACAAAAAACGTCTGCCCAGTATTGCGCTATATATATGGTCAACTCCATATATATAGGTATCGAATTTTATACTCTCTAAACACCTAAACACCTTTATCCGACATGAACTCAGCCCTGGGCAGAAACAACGACGATTTGGCCAAGAACATGCATATCAATATTATTGCGATAAAGGTGTTTCATTTCCTGATACTGGTTTTCATATTGTTTCGCGGTTTGTTTTGTTTTGTTTTTTTTTTTTTTAATTATGAACAACTAAACAAACCTAAATATTAATATGCAACATTGATTTTACAATGTGCAGTTTTTCGATTTGTTTTTCTCTCTTTTGACTTGTTGTTTGTGTTGTGTAAGTGTGTGAAAGTTTTACAAAATATACATAAGAAATTCATCAAAACAACACAACAATAAACTAATACCAAAAAAATGTTGTAAAATTAAAAGCCAAAGTAACGAGAACAGATCGCAAACACACACGCATGTAACTTAAAACTGAGTCCCCTTTCAATTAATATTCCGGGCTAAAGATATCATTTTCTCAGGTAATTTGCAACATTAGCTTGCTTTGTTGCAGCACGGATTTTGTTAGTCTAATGGATCATATTTCGGGTATTTCTTTACGTTAAACTAAATTTGCAACAACTATTTATATGTACATGCGTCAAAAAAGAAAAATCATGTTAATCAGAGAATTATAACAAAATGCTCTGGAACGGGCTAAGTCAGCGCAGATCACATATCTGTTTTCTTCATTAAATTAAAAAGTAGAAGAATTCATACAAAAATTGGATATGCTAAAAGGCTCATTTAAGCAACAGAAATCTCCATAAACGTCGGGTAGGGTAGGTTAAATTCAACAGGACAGACGGGTTAGATTGTAACTAAGAGTTTGTCTTAAATAAATTAATACTAAAAACTTAGAATGCCTCACAAATAAAAAAATGTTAAAATAAATAGAAAAGCAACGCACTTGTATTTACAGGAACACTCGTATTTGATTTCGTTTTTAAATTGTAAATCAATTTGACTTGCACAACTACAACGGAAACGTAAAAACTATTCGCACAGGCATAAATTGGTAATTTTGTATTAAATGCCTTTTGACATTTACTTTTTGGTTTAGGTAAACAAACTAATTCAAATATTGTTTATCAATGCATTGTTGTTGTCGGAATAGCCAATGAGGTAAATAAACTTGCACTGGCTCCAAGTACGAATTGTTCTTATATTACAGAAATATATACTTATATTCAATTAAGAGTTAATGCCTTAAATTTGCAGGAAACTTAAAATGTCCATGGCTCAAGCAAAACTTATAAAAGCACGACGATAATTACGAGTATTACTATATGTTATTCGAAAATCATATTCAGAAATTAGAAATCATGTGGCCTTGGCCGCCGAATAGTCATTGCCAATACTCGGAGCGGAAAGAAGAGAGTTCTCTAGTAGGTAGGCGGTTAGTAGGTATGTTTTAGGTAGCATTAGTTTGTTAATTAGCTGAGCATAATTGCTAAAAGTGTCGCAATCATCGTCAACATCAACATCAACAACAACAACAACAACAAGAGCATCATTATTATTATTGTCATCTGTTATTCTCGCAATGATCATCATTGTCATTAAAAACCATTTCAAGTGTGTGTCAGCATTTCGGCTGTGTTACCTTTTTCCTGTTTTCGTCGTTTACGTTTATTGCAAATTTTTACGGCACAAACCGATAAAATGATCGCAACAATAAAAAACAGGATGCCCCCAACGACGCCGGCTGTTATAGCTTTATGTTTGACACGCGCCGGCACTGGGAATTTCACCTCGTCGCTGGACTCGTATGATTTTTCTGAGTTAGCCAGCACGCGGAAATAGTAGGTGCGTCCGCCCACCAAGTTCTTCACCAGATACTGTGTCTCCTCCGGGCGTATCTGGCCGCGGTTCAGCGTCTTCCACTCCGCATCCGTGCGATATTTAATGGTATAGAACTTGACGATGTGTGCGCGCTCCAACGGCGACTGCCAGGTGATAAGGAAACCATTCGAAATTTCCGTAACGGACACATTGCGTGGTGGTCCGGGCTTAGGTCCTGCCGGAGAAAAACATAACATTAGTATGGAGAAAATGAAATACGTTTACTTTTTGCCAGACTAAATAAAACTCTTCTTTCAGACTGGACATTCGACTTGGACATCGGTTTCGAGCTTTAATACTTTTATTCCTTGTTTAATGTGTTTTTTTTTTTGCTGAGATTTAACATTGGGGCACCTTCCACTCATTTAATTGCAAACTATTTTTCTGGCTGTTCACATAAATAACCGCATTATTTATTTAATTAAATATATATATTTTTTTTAAGCAAGAGTCCAGCAACTCGCATATGCAGGGTGCATATACATACATATGTAATCCCTCATATTGAGATGGAATAAATAATATATTGTATAAATGTTGATTTTGTGGATTCTTGCCTGAAACAGGCAATAAGTGCAAGCCATTTATTAAACCGGAGTGTTGTTGAATAAAAATGCTACGCTTATTATTTATGCATATATGTTAATTAGAAATGCTTTTAAAGAACACACAAGAGATTTGAAAGCGCATACATCAAAAGTTGATTATGCGCATAGCATGGGGCGGGACGCGCTGTGCCTGCAAAAATGAGCAAAGAGTTTTCCCACCCCGCCTCCCCGCCGCTCCACTGTCATAATGAAAAATACCCACAGATTTGACATAATATAAACGAGGCAGGTGACAAACATAATAAAAAAAAAACAAAGGGGGAAGGCTCCACGCCATAGGCCTAAATGAGATGGGTTGAGCGGGGTGGCCGTAAAAATGTCAAGGGTAGACAGGGTACACAGTCGTATACACATAGTCGGGCAGGCGTGAGACAGGGGCAGGGGTGAGAGTAAATGTTATTTATGGCTGCACCAAGTTGCCACTGGCAGCAGCAGCAGCAGCAGCAGCTTATCCGGCACAAGCGGCCCACAAAGTGGATGAAGTTAGCGGTAGTAAATCTGCAGTCTGCACGGAAATACTCGTAAAAGGCATTACTTAAGCGCATTAAAAGGTACGCACACTCACGCACGCACGGCTGCGACTTGCAACAGCCGTAAAATGTCATTGTAAACAATGCAAGAAGTACAATGAGTGCGCACTTTGACCCTTCGGATAGCTAAGAGCTTGCAACAGGGTCTGGCTCGGGTCGGTAGCTAAAAGTTACAATCCACAAGATGGCAGCTAGGAACTGGCTGATGCCCGAACACCCGAACACAAAGGCATCTCCACGAGCAACAGCAATACAATATGGTATGTAAACAAACAAGCAACAATGGCCGAAGAATTTCGAATGTAATTGCTTTTTCAAGTCTGACGCCAACATCGACCCTTGCAGTTAGTTCGGTTCGCATGTGTCATTTTTTGTGGACCATTGCGGCCTGTATGTATGTATGTATGTAGTATGTACATAACATGTATGTAACATACGAGTATGTAAAAAGATCGTCGCTTTAAACTGAAAAAACAGTGAGAAAAATATTTGAATAAATTGATAATAATACGAGTACCTTTCAATCTCAACTTGGGCGGTGAATAAACAATCATGCCTCTCGAATCGGTATGAAAGTATATGTCAAAATAGGCTAAAAGGTCTGCAAGTAAAACAGAAACAGAAACACAAAACAAAATCATAATAAATGCCTGCCAAAGTAAACAGGCTTAACAGGCGAAATAAAAGTGCTTTGCTTCGAACCCAAAACAAAAAAAAAATATAATAATAATTAAAGTGGCGTGCAGGTTGTAAATCATATAAGAAAGTGTGCACATTTAAAGGTACAGTGTCCGAAAAACCAAAAAACAGAAACAGAACAAATTTGAAAGCAGACAAATGCAAATAACTACAACACAACAGAAATTAAGTACAAATAGGAGGAGTTGGCTTATGGGAAGCGCAACGACATGCCACGGGAATCGTCAGTACAAAGCCCAACTCCTTTTGACACCACTGAAAGACTAACTTATATGAAATAATCGATTAGTTTACCTGGATGGGGTAGGCGAAATAAGTACTTATTAAACGCTATACCCTACCGTATGGTAGGTTATAAGGGTATACTATGTGTGTGTATATGCTATGTTAAACGGAAAATTACTTTTGCAGCGTAAAAATGTGCGAATAATATTGGTAACAACAGAACACGGGGCCAAACAACATCAAAAAGCTGGTGCTCTGCAATAATGACAGTGAAATGCATTGAATATTCATAAATTCGCATGTGCGCGTATGCAAATGTGTGTGTGCCAGTGTGTGTGTGCCAGTGTGCGAGTGTGTGTGTAAATATAAAACGTAATCAGCCTTGACATGCATTTCCTGCTGTTGTTTTGTTTTTTTTTTATTTTTTATTTTTGTCGAATGTCAGAAAGAAAATTTGCAACTGTTCAAGTGCCGCCTGTCGCCGGCGCTGCCACCCGTCTACGTTGTTGTTATTAATTTTTAAGCGTTGCGACGCGCAAGGATTCAAAAACAACAACAACAAGGCAGCCAGTGCCATGGCGCATGGTAAACGCTTCACACACACACACACACAACACGAACACATGCGCACACATGTACACACACGCTCAGACATTGCTTAACATACGAGCTTGAAATACGGTTTACCGTTGACGTTATATGCACGATTAAAAATATATAACAAAAAAAATGAAAAAAATAAGAATGGAAAGAAAAGACTAAAGAAATATTATTTCTGTTTGTTATTTCTGCGGCGATTTTAATGACAGTTGTTGCAGTTGTTGTTTTCGTTTTCGTCGCTGTTGTTGTTGTTGTTGTTGTTGCTGTTGTTGTTTTGGTGGCGGCCCTGCAGCGTGGTGTTTAGCCCGAGTTGCTGTTTTTAAAATGAGGCGGGTAGTGTGTGGCTGTGTGTGGTAATGTGTGTATGTGGGAGTGGATGGATGGTTGTAGGTGTTTCGCTACAAGCGCCAAAGGTACACACGTACACGAAATCCAGGGTTGCATAACACAACACATTTTCTGTAAGTTGTCGTTGTTTTAACTGTTCTTGTTGTTGTGGCCGTTGTTACAGTTGCCATTGCCATTGTTGTTGTTGCTGTAGTTGTTGTTGTAGTTGTTGTAGTTGTTGCTGTTATTATTGTTTAACATACGCGTGCGCCAACGCACCGAGATATGTACATACATAGCTACACGCATACACGCAGGGACACAAACACAGCAACAGAATGGGACTCTAATACGAGTATAATAAATTCGCTAAATGGGGAAAACACTTACATATGTATGCAGGTCTGTGTACGAGTGCGTGCGTGTGTGTGTGTGTGTGTGTGTGTGTGTGTGTGTGTGTGTGTGTGTGTGTGTGTGTGTGTGTGAGTGTGTAAGTGAGTGCGTATACTAGCGTATGAGTGTGTCTGTGTTTGTGTTTGAGGGTTGGGAGCTCACTTGTGTTTTATGTTAAGTACAAGAGCGAGACAGAAAAAGCGTAGAAAAAGGTAGAGAGAGAGAGAGAGAGAGAGAGAGAGAGAGAGAGAGAGAGAGAGAGAGAGAGAGAGGAGGGGGACGGGCGGGGAAGAGGCCAATGTGGTACAAACAGGGATAAAGTACAGTAAAAAATTAACTATTATCGCAAAGCGGTTGGAAAAACACGCAGCTACGATGGTATTCAAATTGCCTCACCTACACAGCCAGCCCCAACGGCGGCGGGTGAGGGGGGTAAGGGAAATATAATGCTTGTCTGGCCGTCGTCGGCAAGTCTGCCTGTGTTAAATGTGGCTCGGCATTTGGTAATATGCTTGTTTAAATTACGCCACCCAGCGGCAGCTCAGTTGTTGTTATTTTTTTTTTTGCTGTTTGTACATATTGTTGTTGGCGTGGGCGTTGCCATATCGACCGCACGACCTGTGTCACACGAAACAACAATGACAACACGCAGCGTTCGCCTTTGCCTGTGTGTGTCTGTGTGTGTGTGTGTGTGTGTGTGTGTGTGTGTGTGTGTGTGTGTGTGTGTGTGTGTGTCTCAGTGAATGTATATGTGTCTCCCATTCTGTCTCAGTGTCTGCGCGTCGCACAATTGTAAAAACAGTTCAATTAATTTAAATAATTAAATGTGGGACCAACTGTTTTAATTACGTTGCGAGAAAAGCTGAGCAGCCAGCTCCCTTACAGACCCAGACCCACACCCAAGCGCACACCCACACCCGCACACCTGAGCAACTATACATATGTGCACATATGAGTGGAAGGAACGTCAAAATATAATATTCACATTCCAGCATTGCCTCAATAAAGGACGCACATGTGCCGACCTATGCCCCGGGGACTCGGCGCGAATTCGGGGCGTGCGTTGGCAGCCAATAACAGAGGAAGGGTCAATGGGGAAGGATGGAAGGGTCAACGAGAAACTGCGTCCATTTGCCTAACTTTTCTGCTTGCAGTGTATAATTGCTTTGAATATTTAATTGTTGTTTTTCGTTCTCGACTCGCTGAGCACTTTCTGAGAGCCCCACAGATCAAGAAAAGTATTTTCTACAGTGTTTTTTAATGTTTGTGGTTGCCCCATGGTTGCCTAACAGGGTACAGACAGCAGAGGGGGGCAGGCGAAGTTCGCTAGCCTGGAAAATTAAAAAAGTCTTCAATTCTAGAGCCAGTCTTCCCCTGGCCTCTTCCTTGGTCCTCTATACATATTTATTTTTTTTTTTCTCTGGCGATTGTGAACTGTTTTTATAAAACATCATGCACACATTTGACGTTGGGGATGGGCACATTTAATCTTCGGGATACGATGTTTAAGGTTTCTTTCCATTTGTTGGTCCCATAGGTCTCATATTGGAGATATATGTTTGTTATAGCTAAGATACTTCACTAATTGTTAGTTATCTTACCAGCTTCGTCTGGCATTGGCTGAAATAAGTGATCGGGCGGTTGTGTTGCAGCCTTGACATTACGTGGCGCTGCCGGAGCGTCTTCTATTGAATTTGAATTTTTGCCATGTGGATGGGGGGTGGAGGGGTCACCAGCAGCGAGAAAAATTCAAAATTCAATGCGCGATTTTGGCATTTGATTTTACGCATGATTAGTATGAGAAAGTTAATACGAGTAGCGTTTGGTTTTGTTCGATGGAGATCGTGAGAAAAGAGAAGAAAAACGAGAGAAAAATAAGAGCGTTATGTTAGAGCCAATCCAGATTAACGAGACTCCACGTCTCAATAGTGCAGAAGTTTTAATGAGAATGTGCAAAATGCAGAGCAACATTTGAGCAGGAGCAAAAACCGAAAAAACAATTGGGAAAAACCAAAGCAAAAACTCGACTTACAACTAAAGGATCTAGACGATTACTCACCCAGAGTCCGCACAGTCATTACTTTGCTCATCATACCATCGCCGAGCACGTTGCGGCCAACCACCTGAAATTCGTAGCTGGTGCCCGAGGCTAATCCGTTGATGGTCACCTGGGTGCTGCCGGACGGCGTCACCGATATTGTCTGCCAGTCGTTGACGCCCGCCTCGCGATACCAAATCGTGTAGTCCTGTTTGTACTCGGAGCCACCACTATATCCAGGCAGCCACTGCAGCGTTATGGAGGACTCGGTGGCCTTGCCCGTAATATTGTAGGGCGCATGCGGCTGGGTACCCTCGATGACCAGCTGGGTGACGGCCATCAGAGTGGCCACCTCGTTGGAGACAACGCACTGGTAGTATCCAAAATCTTCGCGACGCAAATTGTCGATTGTGATGTTGCCACCAGATATTTTGACGCGATTGCGCTGTGAGTCCGACAGTTGCTCGCCCTCCTGGCGCTGCCATTTGATTGTGGGCCGCTCCGTGCCCTCTGCTTCGACTGCGTCACAGTGCATCTCGACGCTGTCGCCGACCTTGCGCTGATAAAGCGTTTCCGGCTCGACGGTAAACGCTGGCGGCTTGCGGACGAGCACTTCCATTACACCCGAGTCGCCCTGCGTGCCCTGGGCATTGTAGGGCGTGCACGTGTAGCGTCCCTGATGGTCCTCGTTGACCCGCGTAAAGAGCAGCGAACCATTGGCCATTACCACGATGTCCTTCATTTGGTAGGGCTCCAGCAGGCGTTTGTCTTTCGTCCAGGTAACGTACTGCAGCTGTGGATTCGACTTGATGTAGCATTGCACGACGCCGGCCAATCGAAACGGAAGATACTGCACGGTTGGAGTGAAGGTCACTTTGGCAGGATCTACACACAAATACGTCACGAATTTAGCTTGTATTTAGTAAAAAACCAAATTGATTTAATCTCACATTCAACACTCAGGTAGGCCGAAGCGCTCTGCGGATCTCCAATGCCGTTGGTCACCTCGCACAAATACTGTCCCGTGTCGTCCGCACTGATCGGATTAATGATCAGCGAGCCGTCCTTGCGAATGGTGACGCGTGTCTCCAAGGAGGCCACCTCGCGCACCGGGGAGCCCTCACGGAACCAACGCACCGTGACATTGCCGGGCATGGCCTTAGCCTCGCATGAGAATATCACTTTTTCTCCCTCGAGTTTCGTTTGATTGGTGGGCGGCACCTGTCGATACAAACCAGGACAAAGCATATTGTTAAACTCACAATCGTCAGGCGTTGGCTGAACGCTGAGTAAGGACGAGTTCAAATCATGAGTCGTATGTTGACCAGCGTAAAAGTCCCCATACTCTTCCTACAAAGCGCGCTATCCGCTTAAAAGCAACATTTTCTCAGGGTTCCACTTCAATGATTCCTGGGTGTCCTTTATTCTCACTCTTCCCCTTAAAAAAAGGAGTGACAACTACAGCCCTAACACGTTGCTCCTCTATGGCCTGACTGCTGCCATTGACAACTTGTCAGTCAAATGTCACCGACATCATTTGGGCCCGTTCTACTTCTTGCTTTGGTAATAGCATTAGTGCAATTTGGCCCATTTTCTTGATTTATTCAAAGGATATACTGACGTAGAGGGATTTGATGGAAATAATTTTCATTTGAGTAGGTTATAGTTATGGCTGAATTTATGCCAGCTAAATGCGAAATAAATTGATCGCAAATTGGACACAAAATCATTGTATTTATTTTATACGCGCCCATTCCCTTGGCTTTTTTAAGCCCTTGAACAATAAAAAATAAAGTGTTTGTCGCACTACACCCTTGTTTTCGAAAGTTCAAAGTTCAAACTATTTAAGGCGTCAATATTTTGCTCATATGGCGTGCCTGCCATTTCCCTGGCTAACTGTAAATACCCGAAATCCAAATGCATTAGTGGGTCGTCCACAAAATATGCAATTGGTTTTAGACGGAAAACTTTGTGTGTGTATGTGTGTGGGGCATATTAAGTACATACGTAGATGAGACTGAATATATATGTGAATGTGTGGAAGCACATGGTAAATAGAAGGTAGGAAGCGGGCATCGATTCGGAGACTGGACGAATGACCATGTCAAGTGTGTACTGGGGCGGGCCCTTTCGCTATGTGCTTAATTCGGCTTTCTTTTGCTTGTAAAACGAGGCGAGGTGGGGCGGGTCGGGGCGAGGCGAGGGGAGGCGAGGTGGGGCGGGTCGGGGCGAGGCGAGGGGAGGCGAGCCGTAGATGCGAGCACGACCAACACAAAGGCAGCTCAGACTGCAGCCCTGCATGGCCAGCCGGAATGCATGGGGAGGACAAAAAAAGCCGTGCACGCTTCCAATAGACTTTTCGCTTCTGGTTGTGTGGAAGTGCCGTTCGGTTGTTTGGGCCACGTTTTGGGTTGGATTTTTTTGTAAACCAAGCTGATGGCGTTTTCTGGCAGCAGGTGTCGTCCGTGTTGGTTGGTCGCTGGTGCGAAAATTTCGTGCATGCGGAGGGATTGGTTTTGATCTGTTCTGATGGGTCCTGATACTATTGATGTTGTTTTTACACTCAAGCCGAAAGGAACATTTTGGATGATTAGTTTGCTTTGGCAAATGCATACGTTGTTTGACTTTGCCGGCTGGTTAATGTAAAAGCACTTAACGGACTTTAAACGATGCGTATGCAAGAAAATGCACGAAGAAAGGAATGTAGGGATATATTAAAAACTTACTCTTATAGTAAAGTTTTCATTGATGACATTCATTTTTGATTTCGTTTGCGTGTTTTTAATATGCGCCGCTTTATCCTTAGCGCGGAAAAGTGAGTCGGTTGGACATTTGTTGGGTAGTTTTTGTTAAATTGATATCGTGTTGGTTTTTGTATAGAGAGAGGTAAATTTAATAAGATGGTTGTAAGAATTCATTGAACTATTCGCGAACTATCTGTGCTAAGTCCCATTATTACTCTACTTCTAGAGCCAACCAATTATTTCGCTATGGTTGGGCTTACTACAATTTTAGTTAATAAGTTTTCTGTTATCATCATTTGAAAGAGCTGTCTATAAACTAATATTTGTTTATCTGGTAAATAATTGATTTGTTTATAGGTTTTTACCATTATTACAGCGCCGCCCGCAATTATAACGCGGGCCGTATGGGAGACCTGTCCCTCACCATTGCGTGCAATGCAAGTATATTCTCCGATATCCTCGTGCCGTATGGTGGAGATCCGTAGCTCGGTGCCATCGTTGAAGATGCCCACCGTGGGCGATGGATCAACGGGATTCGCATCCTTGTACCAAAGAATTTCTGGAGTTGGTGTGCCATCTGCCTGGCAATTGAGTATAATTGAATCACCTGCAAAAAACAACGCACCGAAGAAACGACAAAGAAAACGACAAATTAATGGGATAAGTTCGCAGCAATTGTTCAGCTCATACTCGTAGCCAGCCATTTGCATTGCCCACCTTCCGGTTAATATAGCCGGGTCGCCTACTCACAGTCTCCTCTGTTGCATCCATATGTATTATATATTATATGAATCTCTGCTATGCCGGCTAACTACTCGTACTTACTGCCGCCATTTGCCGCAGACAATGGAGCACGCAGACAGTGGCTGCATTGTTGTTACTATTGGTTCATGTTGCTCATGTGCCGCCTGAGTTGGCTGACAAACCGTCAGTGTGTTGTCTGATTTATGCGCTGCAGCGCCATTTTCTCTTGACGCATTTCCGGCGCAGTCGCCGTCTTTTGTTTGGCTTTCGAATTGTTCGGCTGGGTGCCACTTGGAAGTCGCTGCGTACCAACCACGTTGAGTGGCTGAGCGTAAACATTTTAACTTTGATTAAGCGACGGAAATTCGATTTGGCTGGCGATTGCACACACACACAAAGGCTTATCGATTTTGTAAAGTATTCGGGACATTCGAAAGATGACAAATGAGCTCACATAAGCAACTCAAACACGCACTTTCTAAGCGAGCCAAGTTTTCCCTGCTACGGGAAAGTGTCGCTCACTTTTTACGATTGCGCACCATTATGACGCTTGAGTGAGCGTTGGGCACAGGCGACCGGCAAATGGGTGACGGCTGATGGGCGATAAGCAGAGTGTACGGGGGTCTTGCACATAAATAGACCCATAGTTCATTTCAAGGTGACAGACTCATTCGGGCACTGCAACAAATTGCTGACCATTTGACACAGTCACAAGTGGCTATCCATGGCAAGGCAGTAGAGAGCCTGGAGGACGACGCAGGAGAGCCTGCGTCACTTAATCTGCGAAACGTCATTTACCCGGTGGTTGATAGCAGCAAATAACTTTGCCAAATATGAGCCGGTTCCGCATGGAAGAACTTTGACAAGTTTCTTGACAGCTAGCTAGCTTGTTATTTATGATTTCGCATTTTTTGTTGTTGTTTGCTGGGACTCACCTAAATTAACATATATAATATCCTCGGGTGTAACACTAAAGCGTGGCGGTGCATGTACATCTAAGTGGAACCATGTACCATTCTTATGCTGCTTAGGATCTCGGTTCAGGAATACGACCTTGCATTCGTACCATCCCTGATCCGATTCTCTAATGCTGGTCAGGTTGAGTGATGCGGAGCCGAACGGCGAGTCCTGCGACACACGCGACACGCGTCCCTTGTAGCCCTCCTCAATGTGTTCCGGGTAGCTCTCATACCAGATATATATGGGCAGATCGGAGCCCTGTGTTGTTGTTTAATGCATAAAATGTAAAGGTTAAGGTCGATCAATAAATAAGTGTTGCATTTTATTGTGTTCAGTCTGATATTGATTTGAAGACAGTATGTTGTTGTTTTTTTTTTTTATATTTTTGATGTATTTGAACATTTTTACATACTCTTGACATCAAACAATTATGAACCACATAAGTCAAGCTAAGATCATGTATCGCAAATGTTATGACATGTTCAGTAGATAAATGAATTGAATTCACATTCGTCGCGAAACAAAATGATTATTTACATGGGCGATTTATGTTAAGTCAACATATAAAAAATCTAAATTCTAGCACGATTACAATTTGAAATTAAACATGCAATCCTCATCAACACTGCGTGCATGCTGATAAATGTATACGGATATTATTATATTTACTTAGTATAAAAAAATGGTCAGTTTAAAAATAATATTATGTACATATGTATACGCTTTAAAGTCGGATAAAATTAAATTCAATCAGTTTATGTTAGATTAATCGCAGAATTGCCAATTGGCAATGTTAAAACCCCCAAAAACTGTGAAAAATAAATTGAATGCGACACGCACCTCAGTTTCAAGAGTAAAATCAATACGAAAAAACTAAAAAGCGAAAAAAAAAGCAGTATAATCATAGATTGGCAGAGTTACAGGCGAACTGTGTGGCCCAAGCCCGTAGCTCTCCCAACCCCATAGACCCCATAGACTTGGATGCCCATCAACACCAGAGCTGGGCTAGCAGATCCCGGCAACAATAAATCATGTGCAAACAGCGAAAACAACAAGGCACAGAAACAGAAACAGCAACAGAGATACAGTTGAAATTCAAGCTTTGGCTGATAAAAAATGTGCATGTAAAATATTTCAGGCAAGCTACAACAATTGAGGTCAACCTGCAGTCGCTCTGCCAGCTCGCCCCTCTTACCAAACTGAAATGCCATATATTTCTGTTTATTGTTTATTTATTTTTTTGCTCAAAGGCACAGCCCCGGCCATGTTGGCAGTTACCAGCATAGAATGCCGAATCTATTGAATCACACGCGGCGCCGACGTAGATGTGGATGTGGCTGCGGATGTGGATTTAGATAGGTCAGGCAATTCTTTCACATGACTTTCCCGGGCATCAAGGGCGTAAACACTTCGAGCCACAATAGTCCCCTTTCGTTTAGTTGAATGCTCCATGTCATTGGTCTTAAATTTCAAATACTGAAAGGGGCATATAATTGCTTTTGCTTAAGTAATTGGTAGGCATGTTGCTCGCTACGTCCGATTGCGGCGGCGGCGGCATCAAAGTTAATCGATTTATTTTTGTAATTATACTATGCAGATTTATGAGCTGACAAGCGTCGTCTCGCCTCGTTTATAACAACTTAATTATATACGTTTTAATAATTTTCTCAGCTGGCATATGAAATAATTTGCTTTGGCAGCGCTTTGGCAAGCCCTCGACACATAACACACAACATAGTACGCAGGACGCAGAGCACAGTGTAGACGTCCTGGGACCCAGATATAGGCAGCTGGGAGGCTCGACGCAACATGTCAGCGGAAGGAGCTCGGTAGCTTACATGTATTTATTAGAGCAAGCCCAGCGTTAGGTAGTCGAGCGGGCGCCAAAAATTAATATTCGCACTCGCAGAAGCGTCATAAGTTGACTCGGTAAACATTTTTCCGCTTAATTTATTCAGTAGCAATTAATTTAGATTGCAACTAAGGCAACGTCGCCTCTCCTCATATTTGTTGTAGTCTGTGGCGGTCGGTCTGGGCTCTTAAAGGCAACGCCGCACAAAAGTAGGCAACACAAAAAACAAAAGCTTACTTTAATATAGAGAGCAACGAAGCAACACGGCAAAACACGTTACAAAACACGACGTAACCCGACTTTTTATGCGCAACATTGTATTTAATTACGAAACATACATATAAGCAAAAAGAACAGACCATGCCAGATCAGAGCTGGGTATAAATTAAAAGCTGAATCCATGTTAATCCCTTTAATACGCCACCATTACAGCCGTTATGTTGCCGTGCCACATTTTGCGGGACTGTAGGATTGCTTTACCGTATGCGTATTTATTTTTATCGCAGCAAAGCATAAACTTTCTTTTTTTAGTACTTATAACTTTGTTTGGCATTAAAAATGCTTGTAAAACTTTTAACTTGGCACAAAAAGCAGCGACGTTATCTATCCAAGCGCACACAAGTATGCTAACAAACAGTTGGATTCGCTCACACAAACAGACACACACATGCACGCACACATATACACTCGAATATATAAACTGGTCCACGGCGGAAAGTTCAGTTGCGCTATTCCGCTCAACGCCCAACGTTGAAGGCGTTGACGTCAACGTCTGCGTCAACCTCAGGGGAAGCAGCATCCGCAGCCGCAGCCGCAGCGTCTACATTTCTACTTTATTATCCTTGCGGTTTTTCTTAGTTTTTGCTCGGTTTAGTTTTAACTTTGCTATCAAGCAGCAACAATAAACTTAGTTTATCGGCTTGCAGCGGCTTAAGCTTGCTTTAAATTATGAAAGTAAGCAGTTTGAGGTCGCAGCCTTCAGCCTTGCAGATTTGCTAGCTGCACTTTCTTAATGAGCCCACCTCACTAATATATTGTGTAAGTTTATAAGTCTGTGTGTGGTCGCGAGCCATTGCCCACCTGAGAGGTAACTCAAACGAAATAGTTATGCAATGCATGCTGGCGTTTCAATAGGTTAAAACTTATGTATGTCATACTTTGGCCTAGGCGTATTATATAAAGTTAAAAAAAAAAATTTGAATAATTTGAATAAAAGAAGTTAAACAGGAATTGGACTTGTGCTCTTTAAATAAACAAATTGCTGTATATTTCGCTTGTTCTATTTCCCTTAATGGAAATCAACTTTTGCTTACTGCTAGCTATGCATCAAGGAATTTGCAGTGCAGGTTGCAGGTGGTGGATGGATTGTGAATTTGTACGAGATATTTTGGTCAAACAGAGTTGAGGGAAATAGGCAATGATTCCGCAATATTTGTGCAGCAAATTCTTAATTTTGTTAAATGAAATTCATTTTCCCTATTTTCACAGATAGCCAACCTAACGAAAACATTAACATATTTCCGCAAACTCTGTTGATGCTAGAAAGATGTGCAGGAATTGGATAAATTGCACTAAAATCTTGGGAATGTGGCTACATATAGTTTATTCTTTGCTTGCTATGAATTATTGCGACTAGTTGTTTGGTTTGTTAGCGGTGAACAGCTACAGATTTGTATAAATGTTTTTCGATTTTGCGATTTTGCGAACGAGATTGTTTTAAAGGAAATGGTGTGAATTTTTCTTCTCTTTCGCTCTCTTTGGTCTGATTTATTTCTTTTGATTTTTTAAAAAGCATATTTTTCTCATTTGTTTTTTGTCAGTGTTCGGATAGAATTGCGTGTGTGGTGTCATTATGATCCTCTGTTTGTGGAATATCTAAATCGAGTCGCTAAGAATCTGCTTTCGATTCGGTTCTAAAATAGCTGTCGCCGCGAAGCTTAAGTAAAGTTAACTTTTTAGCAATCAGCACAATTGGCGAACATTGTAAATCGAATAAAAATTAAAGGAAAGGACTAAGAAATTAAATTTAACTCATACGCAAATTGCCAATCAAGCAACACATAAAATACATTTACTTAACATGATAGACATATCCATCCCAAGCTAATTGTTTCATATCGTATAGTTAACAACACAACATTGGCATTAACAATAGTGTCATATTGCAGTAGCAAAAGCCGCATACAAATCAGAGCACATATAATCTTTAACTGAAAAATAGAAGTTACGTCTAATTTACAACAATTTCGCATAATTACGCATACGCACTGTCGAGCTTAAATGCTGGCTTTTTGCCTTAATTGGCAGTTAATACATATATTAGTCATATTTGTTAAATAAACATTGAAAATGAACAGGGGAACAGAACAGAATAGAACATAAGTATATGCAAATAGCCAACCGAATATTGATTAGTTAAGGGATGCTCATATAGTAGTAATTATGTAAGTGGGTAGTTTAGAAGTTTAAGAGTTCGAAAACTTTGAGATATGTAAGTAATTCGTTTACTGTGTTACATTTGTCGCGCTTTCATCGACTTTGTCTATCTGTTTCTTACTTTCTTTAGCTTTTTGCGTATCAAACGACAATGTAAAAAAGAGAGTTTAGAGAAGAAATTTTATCTGTGATATCGTACCGTTTCGCTCACCTTCTTGTCCCACTGCAGGACATATGGCACCGGATGATCGTTGGGGAACTCAACGTGGCAATTGAAGACGACACCCTCGCCCAGTATGGCTGTGATGTGCACAGCGTCTTCTGTAAATAGTTGAAAACAGGCATAACATTTAAAGGTAATTGCATGCATATTTTTGATATTTATAAAAGTCCTGAATGTAACAATGTATCGTACAACGTTCATCGGACGTTTATTTCCTTCCTCGACTCGAGACAAGCTGAAAGCTTTTGACGTCAATTGATTGATGGCTCAAATGTTTCGCTGACCTGATGTGCAATCTGCGTGTACTCAATCTCTTACTTATTGAAGAGTCCTTCTCGTGCCGCGCCCATAAAATGCCCAATCCATAAGCCGCGCCCCACTCAATGTCATCTCTCCCTCTGCACCCGCTATCACCGTACTTCTGTGTTTACGTGACATTCTGCACGATTTACTAAGTTAGCTTGACATTTGCCCGGTCCAGTATGCAGGATCCGGGGCCCAGGTCGCTGCTATGCGGAATCGCCGCTTTTGTAGAGGGCTTTCGAGGATGCATTGGCATGCCATTGACGTTTTTTTTTTTCACAGGACATTGGCTGACAACGCGACAGAAGCGAACCGGGTTGCTTTTAAATGGAATCGTTGATAGCCGCATCGGTCACATGTCAAGTGGAGGCTTCTGACTGATATTTCCTGAGTTGTACGTTTTGCCTCTTTTCAGATGCAGGTTGATACGAACTCTCAAGTTTGCTGATTTCGATTTTTGATTTTTTTCCCAAGACTTAACTAGTCACACAATAGAGGCTATTAATTGTGGCAAGGATACTTGTGAAGCATTTCACAGATAAGGTATCGACAAAATATTCTAGGTATTATCCACTTTAATTATTTCGAACAATTGTACAAACTGTACAGTTAACTATATAGAATGGAGGGACGTATTCTCCACCTCCCATCACTGACGTTTGTGTGTGAAAGGTTATTCTCGTTCGCTTGTATTTTTTTTGTATCCATTCGTTGTGCGGAACGTGACATTTGATTAGCGTTTGTCAACTGTCTGTTCGAGGCTGAGGTGACTGTCGACTGCAGTCGTCAACACTTTATGTTGGAATTGGCAGACTGGCCCCTGGATTGACAGCCCTCTCACGGTTGCCCTGGTGATCTGCTTAAAACGAAACTGTCAAGCTAACAGAAGCAGAAGGATACAATGGCCAGCCCGCATTCCTTGTGTGTGCTTAAAGCCGCACGTGCAAAGCTTTAATTGCCGAAATTGCTTGCATGTCGCAGTCCTGCACGAATCGACCCGTTGCCGTTGACAACACGGTGGTTCTTGGTCTACAACGGAAATGCTAATGAATAGTCGGAAACAGCAGCACAACGAAACGTTGCAATGCCCTGTAGCATCCTTTTACACACCCACAGACACACGCGGGGGGAGGGGGGGGGGGGCCAGGACAGTTAAAGACAGAGCATGGACAAACTTGTTAACAAGCAGCTTTTGACAAGGCTATTGTTGTTGCCAGATGTGGGGCAGCAATTGGGGGATATTCGAATGTGCAAAATTAATCTTTAAATAGAGTATATTAAGTGATACGCTTATATATAATATCATCGAAGTAGTTTGCCATGGCAAAAGATAAAGTTAATATATCTACTGCATAGTTATAGACATGCGCAGAGCAAAAGAAAAGGCCTGTGTCGAGGGAAAGGATAGCCAATGGGTGGTCGGGAAGGGAGGTGGCCTGTCAGTTAGACCAGGAGCTCAGCTGCAGGCGGCCTAGTTGCCGCATCTGTTAGCTCGTCTCGCCTGTCAGCTAGTCTACCCGTCGCTCATACACTTTATCAGTCAGTCACTGGCTCGATGTTTCTTTGTCTCTCTCATATTATGCAATGAACGCTTGTTGACTTTGGCATTTGCATAAATTTCTGTTAACTTGGCCAGCTTAGGCAACACTTTTGCCTATTGCACAAAAAGCAACATGAAAAATGTACAGAAACAACAACGAATGACTGTGTGTGTACGTACAGTCAGGACAGTCAGGACTCTTGAGCGTCTATTGCCCTTTGATAATGCTGCAGACAGGTCGCCAGCCACTCGAGGGTTAGCAGGAAGCAGCTACCCACGCGAGCCTGGCCTTTCCGTTGATGTTTGGTATTTTTTATGTCGTGCCTTTTGATTGCGTTAACATGCAAAAGTGGTCTCATTATACAATTTAAAATGTCCTCCAGCCAAAGCAGTCAACGCTGGCAGCAGGCAGCAGGCACTTCATGTCCTCCCGACTTGCCTTAAGTTATTCAGCAGCGCACTTTGTTTTCACGGTTTAAAGTTGAGTCGTTCGCCGGGCAGCAACTAGCCTAGCGCCTGCCAGTACCATAACATTTTCCCGGAACTCATTTCAGGGCGCCCGCCGCATTCCGCATGCCGCAGAACGCCCACCGCCTTTCTAAGTGACGCGCCTTGAGGCGTACTTGGCAATTGACCTTTCGACCGCGCACGAAGTGGCCATCCGTTGGCTGCTATAGAAATCCCAAGCGGATTTTCAATTTTCGGCTAAATTAATTTAATTCATTTGAAGAACGTTACGGTACATTAAAGCAGGCATTCAGGACGGACCCGTCTAGCTTTACTAGTGGTACATTGAAAATGAAATTCCCAAGTGCCTGTCACGTTTGTCGAGCTGCTCTCTCTCTCTCTCTCTTTCTCTCTCTCCCCTCTTTCTCTCTCTCTAATGGCTGCCTATATTTGTAATATTAATATGCACATGTACAAGTGTACATACATATTTAGTTGCCTATAAATTTGTGCAGAGAAGCGGGTCGCTCGGAGCTGCCATTACAATCTCGTGCCGCCGCACTTCAACCAACTGTCAACTAATTGCCAAATGTAATCAGCTTTGCCCTCACGTAAGCCGCTTATTGTGCACCATTAAATTTTCGTGAATACCAAATAAAAATGAATCTATGCGAAACGTCACACACACAGAGTGCTGCCTAACCTGGCCTGGCCTAATACTATGCCCACATATGGCAATATTCTGTTGCCACTTTACGGGTGAAATTAGCCCGAACCGACAGCAATCAATAGGTTTTGTTGGCGGTCTTGACAAGAGCTGTATTTTAGATATATTGCAGCAGTAAAAGGTTTTACGCGATTTGCCAAACGTGTAATTAAACGATAGTACTTTGATTGGCCCCGCTTCAAATCCCACTTACCTGGTATATTGTGAGCTTGTGCATTTTTTGCCAATAAGGCAAGCAGCCAAATCAGTACAAATTTCAGAGTCTTTATAGATCCGCCGCTGACGTGGCAGGTTCTGGCGGCACTAGCGCAACCGTCGACGTCCTCGGCGACGTCGTTGTCGTCCTCGTCGTAATGTCTCCTGCTCGTCGCTTTCACCGTGAACGCAGCCGTTTTCGGCGGCGATGCCGTCAGCGTTTGAGTCGAAGCGGCGTGAATCGCCGTAGCTCTTCTCAATGCGAATGCTACGATTGTTGACTCTGCTCTGGTACTTTCGCTGATTGTGTCTGATTGTTGTTGCGACTGATGTTGCTTTCCTGTTGGTAGCTTTGTATTTGTGGCGCACGACGAACGCGACCGGCTCAATGCCTGACACCATCGATAAGACCCAGGGTCCGCACACACGCCCATGCCTCTGGTCCCATAGTCAACGCCGCCTAACGTATCGTTCTCACTTGCAGTGGCGTCATCTGTAACAGAGAGTACAAAGATGGAAATGCATTTAAGTAGTTTCAAGTGCAGCGGCATACAATTTGTCTTACAGAGTCCCTACATGGCCCGCCAGCTCACCTGGCTGCATTTGATGAAGCTGTCTCGCCAACCATCAATGCCAGCAGACAGGCGACATCCTCGCGGAGCCTGTCAGCTCGAACCTGGCAATCAGTCTGAATTTCCCTTGTGTTGTGTATTTGGAGCCCATCAACAGTCGAAATGTATTATGTATGTTGTGCCGCAGCTTATTTGAAGCGAGTGCAAAGCCTACAAGTTTAGTATTGGATCGAAATCATACAAACTACTCATCATAGATGACAAATTAATAAACAAAAGTTTTCCATATGAACGCCCGTTAGCCGTGAGACAAGCACCTTTGCATACACACCCAAACACACACTTATACATAAAATTAAGCAGCTAATAGGTTGTAGCTACAAGGCAGACAAGCTGATAAGGGCCAGGTGAGGGAGAAATGCGGGGAAATTGCGAAGGAAGACAAAAGGCGACCCATTAAATTGCGTTGCGCCTATACAAATAGCGAAAACTTTTCCTTGCGCTGTTTGCCACTAAAACTTTCCGTTTTAATGTAAAACTTGTGTTGAATGCCGTGAGCGGCCATTGTTGTATAGTTGGGCCTTATCTGGGGATCTAGGACTAGGTGATATATATGTATGGTCCCTGTTTGCTGAGTAGTTAATTAAAAGGGATTGTGTCCACAATTAGCAACATTCGGCGTTTGTCGCCCCCCACAAGTATGCAATAGAATTAATCGTAATACTCCTCTCAGGCTAAAAGGTATTTTTAATTAAATTATTTGCAAAAGCTTTAAATGGAATTCCCTTAATTTCTAGTCTAACATTCAGCATTTATTCGCCCACCAATCTAGGCAAACCTGACAATAACATTCCATTAACATTCGCATCAGCATAAAAAATGTACACACACACACACACAGGCAGAGCAATATTCCCACATAGCACACATGCTCTGGCATTTTAAAACGCTAGAAAAGCGTTTTTGTAACGAGTTTCTCTTGCCTGCTTGCCGTGTAGATGCGAGGGAAATCTTTGCTTCACCTTTATTAAATGTTGCTACTGCAATTAAGTAACTCGAGTTTGCACTCTCGCACCTATGGATAGATACGCACAAGAAATACCTTGCGAGCTGACTCCCTGACTCCCGTATATGGATAGAGGAGAAGGCAACTCATTATGTTTAATATCAATTTTGAAGGGCTGTGGCAGCGGTGTTGCGGTTACCTTTGTGCGCATCTCTGACGGCATTAGCGATCTCTTAATGCATAAGTTAATGGCCAGGGAGAGAGCAAAAAAAACACACGATAAACAATAAACGACAGTCACAAGAAACAGCAACGAAGTTTGAATACCCTTGCGAACATATTCATTTAATTTCCTCCCAAAAATGTTGGCACACAGATGCACATGTCATATTCTTGAATGAAGTTTACATTTGGTTACAACATTTTTGTACCATTTGCAAGGACACACAGAGATGAAGAGCGATATACTGAGAGAGAGCCCTGAAAACTTTGCGACAGCCTCTGCCGGGATGCGCTCATGCGTCGACTTAAATCCTTTTGGCATGACATGTACAATTTTAATAACGTCAAGCATTATGAAAACTTTTTGCGTTTTGGCATTATGACAAGTTGATTAAAACGAAATTTATTTATGAAGCGTGTGCGCAACGTGAACGAGTGGCCATTACCTGGCTCGAGCTCAGAGCCGCCGCCAACTACCGCATCAAAACTAAAGGCCCACAAACCAGTCAGCTAGCAGCGAAAATCACATTAGACAATCTGCACATTTTCGTCCTGGTCACACAAGCAGACAGGGGCGAACACCAACGAGGCGGGACGGGGTGGGGCAGAGAGAGCCAACTAAAATAGAACAAAAGCCGGAAAAATGATTTCCCTTATGGCTGAATTTTCATTACCGAAAAACCCGCCATAGCGTATGATTTCATTTGTAAATCAGCTCAAGTTGAGCTCGAACATCGCATAATGGACGCCGGATGTCGAACGATGGACGAAAATGGCAAAATCGGAGAAGTGGCAGGCGGCAGGTCAACATTTGATGGCGACTGCGGCGGCCATCTTTGTTGTGGAACCAGCTAACAATGACAAATCAGCAAACGAATTGCATTTGCTGCTACACGTAGCCAAATGCAAACCAGTCGATTGTGTGCGGTGTTCATTAAATGAAGTACGTTGGGACAGTGAGACTGACGGCTGTTGCTGCCTGGGCCTAGGATGTGGTTGGCGCCAAATCAGTTGATTGGTTCGGCTAACATACACAGACACTCGCTCTATGCTTGTGTATGCGCATGTATCCATGTTTGCCTGCACCATGAGACTCATAACTAAATTTTCGGCCACATCGTTGTCATTATAACAGAGACAGAGGTGGGCAACCAGTAATCATCTCGCAGTGTGCCATGGAAGCCATTCCAATGAGTGGACGTGGACGTGGCCGTTGACGCGCCGCCATTTCATTTTGTGCCCTGTGTGGTGGCAGCACTTTATGGCATCCGTTTCCGCTGCTGCTTCCAAAGAATCGGATGCGGATGCGGCGATGGATGAAAGCTTTTGGTTGACTGCACACTGATGTAAAAATGGGCAGCGGTCAATTTGGCGACCAACGCATTACGAGCCTGTTCACATCTGATCTTTGAAAGACAGCTAATGCACGCTCATTTACATTATCAGACCACAGAATTTTTAATTTAAACAGGACAGGGACTTGAGGCAGTTACTGCAGAGTTATTTTCCAGCGTTCGGCCTTCGGTTAGATTATTTTCAAACACTAATTAAACGTCTTGTATACAATTTACTTACAAGCAGCCCATTAAACAGCCCAGCCAACATCTTCAAATCAAGAGCACAAGGGTTTCAGCCCAGAAACAATCCAAACACGGCATGCCACTCTAATAACTGCAAGTGGCTGTCCAGCTCAACCCTCTCTACTGCTCGTACTCGTCGCCCTGGGACATTTATGTCTGTATATATATATATAAATAGTGCGCTCTTAAGTGCAAAACAAAATTTGTACAATTTTTGCTTATTGTGTTGCTGCGCGGGCCAGACTAAGTGAAGCCAGCGAGGCCATATATGTATGCACTTGTACATGCCCCAAAAATACCAAGAAGAAGCATGAGGAAAACCGCAAAAGCATTGGGACAAGCAATTGCCAGTCGCAACCCCAAGCATTGGACTGTATCGCTCAAACGCCGCATTGCTCGAATTAAATCTGTAATGAAATAGGTCGTCCGTTTTGGATTACATTTGTGCCTTTAAGTTGGAGGAGCCTTACAGGAGCTCATATGCATGAAAGCGCCATGGTAAATAAAATAGTGGGGATAAGAAGAAGAAAGGTCACCATGTATTATGTAGGCCGCGTGTGAAAAAATTGGAGCCAGCCGCAATGCCGCTGCTGTCATCTTTATTATCTTCATTGTTGCCGCAGTGAATCCTTTTCGAATGACTGGCGCATATTTCCATCGAAAAATATGCGGCTTGTCCTTCGGCTTTTATTATCTTCCTAATTTAAATAATTTGTGTGTATAAGTATAAGAATTGGCAAACTGATCCTGCGTGTGTTAATAAGGTAAGCCTGAGTTCAAGTCGCCAAAGAGGACTCAAAGTAACGGCCATCGTTTAATCTAATAAAATGTCACATTGCCGCAGAAGCAATTAGGACTAACCATCAGCTACTCACGGCCATTAGGTAAGCTGTAGCATGTAGAAATTCTGGAGGGGGGGGTCAGCCAAAGTCAATATATCATTATAAAGGCACTAAAAGAAATGCGGCCAAATAAGCTGTGGCCCAGCTAGGTCAGCAGCCATGTTGTCCTCGGGAAACAGCAGCACAAACGATGCAGGGCACGGGAATGGGAATGGGGCGAGCATGGGCCATTGTACAATTTTAATTGCTCTAAAATGTTGTAATACAACACGAACCACAAATAAATAAAATTTGCTGACATCAACAGGATGTTTGCGGGTTCCTGTGCGGCGCAGAGCACATCACAGTGGATGGCCAGGAGCAGGCGCAGGCCGTAATGGTCAAATGACTGGCGCCCGCCCCACGTTTTCAAATTTAATTTGGTCGGAATGAAGACAGAGAGTCGGTTCGCTCATAGCGAAGGCTGCCTGTCTATTGGCGTGTGCATAAATAGCTGTAGTTGGGCGGGACGAGCGAGTGAGAGTGCGAGTGCGAGTCTGGCTTGCCAGGAAATTATATGGCCTTTGTCCCTCCGTCTGTCCGTCCGTCCGTCTGAGGGCAAAACTTTTGGACAGTCGCACAATACTCTATACTGTATCCTCATCAAGACGAAGAGCAATAGCTTAGGTAGCAATGTTACGGCTGCTCATTTATATTATTTACAATAAATTTCTGCTTTTCATTTAGTTTTCACTTTTATCACTGCCATTCAAAGGCTATTACGCAACAAAAATTTTCATTCAGGCTTGGTGCCCAGACAGAATGGCTTCTTTGTTGTTGGCCACTGTCGTCGTTGGCTTCGCCGACATATGGGTTCAGAGATTCCATAATGAATTGTTTAATTTCATTTCTTTTCTTTGCTCGTCATTATTGCCTGCTCGCCTGATGAGCCCCCAGTGTCATCAATGACACTGCACAAACTGTCTCTCAATTTCTTATTTCACATGATTTTCACTTATTCGACATACATAATTTTTTTTTTTTGCAATTTACCAACGTCGCGTCACTTTACTTTGCAGAAATTAAATTCCTTAAAATATTTCGCAAACGGCACAAAGTTTACTCCGTACTTGTTTTATTTTTTTCTTCTCCGAAGTCGCTTCGAGTTTTTCTCAGAAAATATTTTTCTCAAATTATGAAAGTGCAAAATTATTTCAGATATCAACAGAGCACAAGCTGCATGGAGGCTGTGAGGGTGTGTGTGGGTGTGTATGGGTGGTATAGCAGCGGTG